CCCTGTGGGGGACCCAGGTCGAGTTCCTGGCTCCTGTCCTAGTCCTGCCATGGGTAAGGCGAGCAGTAAAGCAGTGAGTGGAAGCCCGTGAGCCCCGTCTCTGTGAGACTGTGGGGTGGAACAAGTTGAGGCTGAAGTTGCTGGTGCTAGATTTCCCCTGGGCAGTCAGAAGAGGTGGAGCCATTGTACACGCTGCCGGCTGTAAACTTTCGGAAGAGGGTCGGCGAGCATTAGTTACAAACAGTTGTACCTGGAGAACGGAGAACTTGCACAACTACACTGCAAGTTCCACCTGCCCCGTGTCCCAGGCAGGGAGGCCTGCTGCCCTCGGAGAGTCCCAAGGCCTGCCCCTGTGCCTCGTCCAGGAGCACACCTTCCTCTCTGTCAGCTCTGAATCTAGACAGAGGTACAAGGACCCCACCTGCAGAGCCTCGTCCTGTCTGCTCAAAGCTACCCCGACAGAAAGCAAGCTCGAACGCTGATCGTAATGCTTTCTGACCAACTATCACGCCAGTGTGCATGTCCGAACGGCAAGCCAGGCTCCCATGGGAGAACCCAGCAGCAGGGAGCTGGGAAAACAGCTTTCGAGCCCCCACTGTCCACGTGGGTGTCACGCTGTGTAGCCTGGGATTGCCGCTGATGCGCCTCTGTTTGTACCATTGTTAGCATGGTGGATAATTTTGCATCATTCTTGATATCCTGGGAGAAGGAAATGTTTTTTTCTCTTGATTTTCTTAAGGCCCTGCTGGGAGTCGGTTTGCTCAAACTTTGGCAGATTTCCCCCCCATCAGTATGCAGAAGTGGTTTTTGTCAGTAGCTTTTTTTTTCTGTGTCATTGCTGTAAGTTTTCTGTTAGCAAGTGTATGCTGCTTTTAGCATTAGAATTTGAAAGCTTTCCTCTTTTGTCTCTGCTCCAAAACAAGTTGGAAATCACTGGAGCCTTTTTATTCTGCAAAAATTTCAACCCTTTGGGCCTACACTCTTGGAGAATCAGTCTCTCTTTTTAAACAATATAGACACGATTCAGTTCAAGTTCAAACATGTAATACCGTTATGAAGAAGCAGAATATTTCCTAATTGTATTTATTTGCATATATTTTAAAGACAGGAAGACAGAGAAGAGGCAGACGGAGAGATTTTCCATTCGGTAGTTTATTCTGCAAAGGCCTGCAGTAGCTGAACTGTGCCAGGCCAGAGCCAGGAGCCACAGAGACCATCCGGGGCCTCCCACGAGTAGCGGGGCCCCAAGTCCTTGAGCTGGGAGCTGGGTGGGAAGCAGAACCAGGACTCAAAGCCAGTCTCTGCAGTGCAAGCACAAGCATTGCAAGCTGCATCTCAGCCGAACGCCTCACATCCTGGGAGCCAACCCAATGATTCTTCCTGTTTCTTGGGCTTTTATTGTTTAGTGCTTAGATGTTTAATTTATTGGTTTTAGTAGATTATTTTTTCTTAAAAAAAATCCAGACGTTCAAATTTACTTGTATATATGCAGAGGAAAATAAAATAAACATAGTAAATGTGCTGTATATATATATATATTTTTTTCTTATGTAATTGTTTTAAAAATAAAAAGACTTTGGAGTGAGGGAGAGAGAGAGGGAGAGCAGGAATCCCAGTCCGCTGGTTCACTGCCCACGGTGGTGGGAACCAATCTGGGCCTCCCAGCTGGTGTGGATGAACTGCCCACTTGGGTCAGCACTGTTGCCTTTCAGAGTCTGCCCTGCCTCATCCCTTCGTGCTGGTTGACATTGAGAACTAGCTCTCTTGTGAGGACTGTGTGCAGGTATGTGGTGTGATCGGTTTTTCCTAATTTGGCTGAGGTTGTAGTTGCGCTCTTTGGCTCCAGAGTTTGAAGAATATACGTCCAGATAATAGGATCATTTGGGGCTCCCAATTGATTTGATTGGTGATCACAGAATTTCACCAGAGTAATTTCTGCCTTTTGTTGTTGTTGCTGGATTTTTGAATATTTGCATAAAAATAACCAACATCCAAACTGTTGTGAAGTCTACAACTTGCTGTATGCTAACATGAAATAAAAAAAAAAAGTTTGGATTTTAGACTGTTTGGGTTTTTTGGCTTTTGAGGGATATTTAGCCAGGTGGCATTTCCTTGGCTCCTGCTGGCAGTCTCCGCAGGAAGAGGAGAGCCCTTCCAGCAGAGGCGTCTGACAACTGCACTTCCAAGTCTTGGTGCATCCAACCCGCGCCTCTCCCCAGGATCTGCAGCCCAGACAGCTCTGTAAAGCAGCCAAGTTTATCGAGGAGGCAGGTAAACAGACTAGCTGGCTGGGGTCAGCTCTCCTTTCCTTCAGAGTGACCCCGAGGTGAGAGTTACATGGGTTTTTATGGAAAGAGTGAGTTACACAGCCATGGGAACCAGGTAAGTTGGCTGCTATATGAGGCTGCCATGGGAATAACGTGTGAACAATGGGTGGGCAATACCAACCTCAGGATGCTGCCATGGGACAGTAGGTGGGCTATAGCAGCCACAGGAGGCTGCCATGGGACAGTGGGTGGGCTATACCAACCACAGGAGGCTGCCATGGGACAGTGGGAGGGCTATACCAACCACAGGAGGCTGCCATAGGGACAGTGGGTAGTCAATGGGTGGGCTATAGCAGCCACAGGATGATGCCTTGGGACAGTGGGTGAATAAATCATACAATATTGATTCTTGGAGCTGAGGGTTGCTGGCAGGGCATGGTACCTAGTGATCTGGCCCAAAAAGCAGGAAGCTGGCAAAGCATTTTGCACAGGAGCATAAAGGGCAGGTTAGCAAGCTTGCGCAGGCCTGAACTGAAGTGACTGCATTTTGTGACCGGGTTTTACTGTCTGCCAATGCCGTCTCCATGCACACCTACTTCCCTGTGAAATGAGGAGTTCCAGGACGTTTCCTCCCTCTGTGGTTCTCTGACCTGGACAACTTACTGTGAGCTCTGCAGTGTTTGCTTAGCGATTGCCCTCACATTTCCTGATTTTTCTTCCAGGATGTAGAAGCCATAAAACATTTCTGTGCCCCTGATGTTGCCCATTACTAGACACTTTTTGTTGACTTTTATAGGCACTTGTTTATGTTAAACTGACAGTGTCGGGAGCATGTCATCAATGTGTAACCAAAATTCAAAAGCAGTAGTTTTAAAAAAATGTTGATGAACTTGTTGGCGATGACGAGTGCAGCTGCCCGTAGTCATGTGTGATAATTACTGAACCTTTAAGCAATCACGTTTAGTCATTTTCTTTGGGTACAGTTTCTTTGCTTCCATATTTGTACTGGGGGATCAGGTTTCGATGTAGAATTTTCATACAAGAGCAAAGACTTCAGTGAAAAGTCATTCTGTCCCTCAGAGCTAGAAGTTTCTGAGACATTCCCTGTCTATCCAAGGGAATATACAGATGGCCTATGAGTTCAATTTTCTGCCTCACTGTAAAACAGATGGCCCCAGATAACTTTTGAAAGTGGCTTTAAATGATGGATTAAATGGTAGGTTCGAGTTCCTCATAGGGATTGGCATCTCTGGAGATGCTGTTGAGAATAAGTGGCATGGCCATAAGACCATCATGGCATCAGGTACTGTACATTTCCCCAGGCTGGTCTGAAGGAAGGAAGACCATCGTGCCAGCAAAGGAAGAGCCAGTGTCTGCTCAAATGCAATGGAGTCTATTTGTTTGCTGCTGGCTTTGAGGAAGTAAGTATTTTTAGAAGAAAGACAGGCCAGGAGGTTTTTGTAGTTGAGGAGATTAAGTATTAACTACAAAGACACCTTCGGTCTTGATGCTTGGAGCGGCTGTGTCCTCACTGTGTTCCCTTGAAAAGTTTGTGAATTAAAGCTCTCCTTTGTTTGTGTATGCCAAAGGGGAACTATGAGTGCTGGTGAGAACAGCCGGGGCTGGGCACTTGGTCCAGCAGGCAGAGGCTGGTCGAAGTGTCTGCATCCTGAGGAGCTCCTGGCTTGGAGTCCCAGCTCTGATCCCTCGATTTCCTGCTAAAGCCATAGCAGACAGCTCATTGGTACGGTAGACCCAACTTCCCACCTAGCTCAGCCATCAGGAATCGCCCTCCCAGTTAATGCCCCCGCGGAGGCCCTGCCCCTCACAGAAAAAGCTCTGTCTCTTTTCCTTGGCAATGTAAAAATACCCTTTTATTGTTAGACCCCATCGTGGATGCTTTCCTGTGGGTAGATTTAGAAGAAAAGCAGAAAGCAGTTCTGGCACATCAGACGTGTGTATGTGTAGGTTATGACATGAACAAATGCAAGGAAGACAAGGTAAGACAGTGGGTTTCCGGCCAAGGCGGGGATTGATCTGGCAGAGCCAATATGGGCATCCTGTAAGCTTCTGCAAACTCAGGAACCTGCAGGGCGACGCCCCGCCCCAAAGCCCCGCCCAGCTCCCTCCCAGGTTCCGCCCCACACGATGGCCCCGCCCCGCCGCTGAGCCCCGCCCCGCCCCGAGCCACACCCCCGCCTCCACCCTCGGCCTGGCGCCCCACTCCCACCCCCAGTACCTCCCCTCACGGTCTGATGGTTCCGCCCGCATCCCACCCTCAGCCTCTCCCCTCACTTTCCGCATCGCCACGCCCCGCCCTCTATAGGCCACGCCCTCAGCTTCGCCCCGCCCTCCACAGGCCACGCCTTCACCCGACCCTCAGCCTCTCCCCTCACTTTCAGAGGGCCACGCCCTCGGCTTCGCCCCGCCCTGCACAGGTCACGCCCTCAGCTTCACCCCGACCCACAGGCCACACCTTCCTCCCACCCTCCGCCTCTCACCTCACTTTCAGAAGGCCACGCCCTCGGCCTAGCCCCGCCCTCAACTGACCACGCCCTCATCCCACCCTCTCCCTCGTGTTCGGTTGGCTTCTCCCTCAGCCGCTCTCTCACGTTCAGATGGGATCTCCCTTAGCCTCTCCCTCGAGTTCAGTTGGCCTCTCCCTCAGCCGCTCCCTCACGTTCAGATGGGATCTCCCTCAGCCTCTCCCTCGAGTTCAGTTGGCCTCTCCCTCAGCCGCTCCCTCACGTTGGCGGCCACGCCCGCGGCTCCGCCCCTCACGGCGCCGGGGCGCGAGGACGCCGGGCGCGAGCCCCCAGGGTTCGGGGGCCGCGGCGGGCGCGTCTCGGCGAGGGAACATGGCCGCCCTGACGACAGTGGTGGTAGCGGCCGCGGCCACGGCGGTGGCCGGGGCTGTGGCGGGGGCGGCGGGCGGGAGCGGCGCGAGGGCGGCACCGGCGCCGCAACAGGTAACGGGGAGGTGCGGGAGCGAGGCGGGCCGGGCCCTGGGCGCTGCGGCCTCCGACGAGCCCACTCCGGCCTCTCCCCGGCGCCCCGGGGCGCGTCCCCTGCCTTGGACCGGTCGGGTCCCTTCTCAGATCCCTGCGGGAACGGGCCTGGAGCGGCCGGGCGCAGCTCCCCTTCCGCCTACCCGGAGTGCGCGGAGCCCAGTGCGGCGCCGGGGGTGCCCACTCGGCCCGGCCGGCCCAGGCAGGAAGCAGGGACGTACGGAGCACCGGGTCGTGTGGCTCGAGGTCCCCTGTGCTGGCGAGGGGTGGCTTCCGAAGGCCAGGCGGGCCCGTGCGGAGGTGGTCACTCCCCGACCCTCAGGGCAGTGGGGGTTGGCTGCCCGGGCCACGCCTGGGCACAGGCCGCCTGGCTGCCCCCCCACCCGTGCCCGCCGTGGGCCTGGAGAGCTGCCCTGTAGCCGCCCCCTTGGAGTGGGAGGCAGCTGGTCGGTGGGGAGTGTTTTCACACAGCGGGACTCAGCACAGGAGTCCGTGGGTGGACGTTGCCACGATTCCAGCCAGCCGGTGTGTCCTGACAGGTGGCTGCTGGGGGTGTCCCTGGGACGGCTCGTGGCCTCAGCCTGGATCCCTGCCCTGACCGTCCTGTCTCCACCTTCCGTCACATACTCGTTCTGGTTTTTTTTTTTTTGTTTGTTTGTTTGTTTACAACTAGCGTAAAATATTTGTCCTTAGCGTTTGGAATCTCAAGTTTTGCTATGATGAGAAGTCATAGTGTTTCTGATCTGTGCTTTAAAAATTGTTTGTTCATTTGAGAAGCAAAGAGAAAGCTCACCCCCTAGATGCTGCAGAGCACAGGCGCTGGGGACTCAATCCAGGTCCCTCAGGATGTGGCAGGGACCCCGTTGTTAGATCGCGGTCTTCCAAAGTCCCTGTTGGCAGGAAGCTGGCATCTGGAGGCACAGCTGGGCTTCGAACAGCACACTTCTGACTGCATGCGCTGCCTGCTCCTTTCCTCCTGAAGACTGAAGGTCTCAGCTCCCTGCCTTCTTCACAAAGGCTGGTTCTCCTCTTGGGTGTATGGTGTCTGTAAATGTTGGATTATGCATTGTAAAAACTCTTCTGGGTTCAGCACAATAGCCAAGTGGCTACAGTTCTTGCCTTGCGTGCTCCAGGATCCCATGTGCGTGCCAGTTCTAACCCCGGTGGCCTCGCTTCCCATCCAGCTCTCTGCTTGTGGCCTGGGAAAGCAGTCATGGATGGTCCAAAGCCTGGGGACCCTGCATCAATGTGGGAGACCCAGAAGAAGCTCCTGGCTAGATCAGCTCAGCTCTGGCCATTGTGGCTGCTTGGGGAGTGAACCAGTGGATGGAAGCTCTTTCTCTCTGTCTCCTTTTCTCTGTAAATCTGACTTTCCAATTTAAAAAAAAAATGTTTAACATCAACAGCAACAAAAACCATCTTCAGCAGCATCACACGGTGGAATGCTGAGTGTCTGACGTTCTGAAGGCTATGGACGGAGTACTCCTTCCATAATATCTACATTCCTTCTGACTTTTCAGACATTGTGTTTATTGAAAAGGCAGAGACACATCTGCCTTCTGCAGCTTATCTCAAATGCCTTTGACATCCAGTGTAGGTCAGACCATATTAGGAGCCTGGAACTCAGCTCTGGTCTCCCACACGGGTGGCGAGGACCACAAGTACTTGAGCCAACGCGGCTGCCTCCCAGGGTGTGCGTTAGCAGAGAGCTGGCAGACCAGCTGTGCAGATACCCAGCGCTCCTGCCTGCACTTTGGCTTTTGCTGTAAGGCAGAGTGGACATCCTTGCGTGTGACCTGGCTGTGTGTATATGCAAATGGAGTAGGCTGCACAGTGTCCCTAAGGTATTCGTGTACCGCAGCGCCTGTGCGTGTGGAAGTTTACATAGTGAATGGGACTTTGCAGTTAGCATGGAACTAAGGATCTTAAAATGTGGAGATTTTACTGGATTCTCTGGGTAGACACTTTGTAATCACAAAGGAGCCTGCATCTGGAGATGGGGGAGTCCGAGTTAGTTGTAGATGTGATGACAAAAGCAAGACAGTGGAGTGGGAAGGGGGCCAGGAGCCAAGGGTGGGTATATATGCTCAGTACAGATACAGGGCTTGGGATCAACACAGTGGCTGGGCACCTGCTGTGCTGGCATTCCACAGCAGCAGTGTTTGAGCTCCTGGCTGCTCTACTTCTGATCTGTTTCCTTGCTGATGAGCCTGGGAAAGCAGTGGAAGATGCCCCTACTGCCCGTGTCGGGAGCCTGGTGGAGTTCTGGTCTTTGGCTCCAGCTGTGGCAGTGGGCACTGGGGGATAAACCAGCAGACGGAGGAGCTCTCTTATAGCTCTTTCAAGGAAAGGAATAAATCTTATAAAGAGAAAACACTACTAAGTTTTAGTTGTAAAATTGAAGAGTTGGATCCTTTCTTTTCATTACAAAATTCCTATACTCCATCATTTAATATTTGATCTTTAGCAGTTTTATTGGCAATAGGTAATTTTTATACTTCTGTTAAATTTTTTCACAATTATTTTTCACTTTCCCATCCTTTGTGGTTAATACCTACAAAGGAACACATGTAAGGAAAAGTTGTCTCAACAGAAACAACACAGTTTAAAAATCAGCACATGATCAAATTATTTTGCGTTTTGTAGTGGCCAGTGATGTTGTGAAGTTGCATTCAGCATGCTATTCAGTGTTCTCAGAGTGACGTTTTCGCCTCTGATGAGATCATACTGAAACCAAGCCTTCTCATTGCTCGCGAGCTGTCACTGCAGAGGCCTTGAGCTCTGTCTCCTCAGTGGACCCTGTTAATCATCTGTCAGCTCGAACCACCAGGCTGGCCAGCAGCTTTCAGAGGGTCACTGGGACAGCCTTCTGAGCACAAGTGTGTTTGCAATTTTTCCCTTCCTTTTGTAGCTCTTTCACTGTTGCTTTCAGCAAAGAGGCTGCATGGTCTTGCATAGCCCAAAGTATTTCTGAGGAATCTCCATGTATCTGCCTTCCCAGAAGCACAGGGAAGTGACTTTCGCTAATCTTCTCTGATGCTGTTGGTGTCTACTGGTGAATTGGACTTTTTCATGACAAGTACCTCCCAGGCAACAGCTACCTTATTCGGGAGTTTCTGCGCAAAATTCAGTTGGTCTTTAGTTCTCTCAGCTGAGTGGGAGCTCTTTAATTCTCAGGCAAGGACACAAGGACCCTGACTGAAAGCCCCACAGGACCCCGGTGATGAAGTTCATCGTCTCCCGAGTCGAGGGACACCGTCCGCTCCTGCTTGGGGGATTCTTACCTATGTGCTCCCCAGAGCGCTGGGGCTTGGGAGGGACCCTGGAGCTCAGCTCGTCTTCCTGCCACCCGGCTACTGCCAGCAGGAAGCATTGTCCTTTGCCAGGGCTGGTCCCAACTCCACCGCCCGCTCTGTCTGCCCAGACCTGCAGTAGATGCAGGCCCTCCACAGCCCAAAGCTGCTCTTCAGTTGACCTTTTTTTAAGAGAGATGCTCTTTCAGGCAAGGTGCAGTAGCCTAGTGGCTAAAGTCCTCGCCTTGAATGCACTAGGATCCCATATGGGCGCTGGTTCTAATCCCGGCGGCCCTGCTTCCCATCCAGCTCTCTGCCTGTGGCCTGGGAAAGCAGTGGAGGACGGCCCAAAGCCTTGGGACCCTGCACCCGCATGGGAGACCCGGAAGAAGCTCCTGGCTCCTGGCTTCAGATTGGCTCAGCTCCAGCCATTGTGGACCCTTGGGGAATGAATCATCAGACAGAAGATCTTCCTCTCTGTCTCTCCTCCTCTGTGTATATCTGACCTCCCAATAAAAATAAATAAATCTTAAAAAGAAAAAAAGGAGTTGCTGCATCAGTAACTGATTAAAAAAAAAACGAAATGAAATAAACTTGGCTCTAAACTCATTACAGGAGACGCTGTGGTTGACGCATTCGTCTCTCTCCACTCTGGTTGTCGGCTATAAGCTGTTTTTGTTCTCTGCAGAATGATGGTGGCTGTAGCGCTGCAAGCGGAGTTCGTCCTTTTCAGCTTCAAAGCTGGAAACAGAAAGCTAGTCGCACTAAGAAAGCAGAACTTGTACGTACTGCAGAGAGACTGAACAATCAGTGAGTATGGAAATTTACTAAGTCTATATAACGGTAGTGAGCAATGTAAGGTGAACTGTACTCCACTAAGTTACAGAATTATAGCCAGTAGCCTTCAAATGTAGCCAGAGAAAGGTGGGAGATATGAAATTGGCAAATAATTATAGATAAGTAAGTGTAAAATTTATTTTCAGTAATTTCAATTTTATTTTTACCTTAATGTATTTCAAGAGATGTGTAATAGCTGTTTAGATTTTGTTTATCATAACAGCTGCTTAGATTATGTGTATCAACAAATTGAAGTACACTTTCGTTGTGTAACTGTGGATAAGCATTTAATAGTTTGTGTAAATAGTTAAATAGTTGTTCGGCTCTTAAAGGTCGGTGTGCACGTGCTTTGTAAGTGATGGACGGCATGCTTGTACAGACGGAGGTGCTGAGGGCCAGCTGTGGTGGCCTCAGGCTTCCCGTGCCAGACCGCTCCCTCGTAGCCTGTGACCTCATGGCCAGCTGCCGTCCTAAGCATGCTGTGTGTTGTGGTCACCCAAGTGCAGACGCTTCCATTTCTGTCGGGTGTCTGGCGTGTGTATGAGTTTCCTTGAAACAACTGGTGGCATTCCCTGATTGTTAGTGGTGTCGGCAGCGCCGCGCTCCGTGTCATGAAGAATAATGACAGGAATTAGAAATCCAGGCCCGCCCGCCCCTGCACAGCCTCTGAGAGCTGTGCCGAAGTGCTGCTTTCAACTGTCACTTTGTGAGAAATAAAGGACGCCAAGTGGGAGGTGGTGTCTGCCCAGAGCCAGTGACCCTTCTCTGTGGAGAAGTTCTCTCAGTAAAAAGTTCCAGGTTGAATTTCGAAGTTCACAACTTGGTTCCCTCTGGCACCCGAATTGTTATTGTATTTATGTAATACTTGCAATTTTTCTCCAAACTTTGAGTTGTAATGGGCAAGTATAAATTGTATGTGTTGGAAGGTATATAATGTGATGTTTTGACTCTTGTGTGTGTTGGAAAGTGGTTGCCACTGATGAGCTAATCAGCACATCCTCACCTCTTCTCTTAGTCAAATACTGTTATTCCAAGTGAAATAAGCCAGACACAGAAAGACAGATACTGCATGGTGTCATGTAAATGTGGAATCTAGAAAAGTTGAACTCCTAGAGATAGAGATGAGGAGGGTGACTGCTAAGGGTCTGGAGATTGAGGAGTGGGGATGAAAGTTAGAGGTAGAAGGTTTTACTCCCCAAATGGGTGCAGTGAGCAGGAGTGGACCAGGCCAAAGCCAGGAGCCTGCCTCTCCCTCTGGGTCTCTCGTGGGTGGTGGAGATCCAAGGCAGCAGGTGGGTCAGTACTTGCCGCCTCCCAGGTGCATGAGCAGGAAATTGAATTGCAAGTGGAGCAGCTGGAACTCAAGCCAGCGTTCAGCTGGGATGCTGGTGTGGTAGACAGTGACTTCATTCGTTACAGCCCAGCGTGGTCCCTGAGGTTGTGAGACAGCGATATACAGCGTAGGAAGTGCACTTAATTATGCGTGTGAAATATACCTTATCCAAAATGCTTTAGGAGCTCAGGTTGTTCTGAATTTGGAGAAATTTGCAGATATGTATTGAGGTCTCTTGGAGATAAACACAGAATTCCTTCATGTTTCCTGTGTGCCTTTTCTACATTGCCTAATACTGAGTTCCTACAGTCTGTACTTGGTGCACCTGCTTGCTGCCCATGGCCCGTCACTTGAGGTGGGCTGGGGGAATTTGCACGTGGGACATTATGTCATGGCTCCAAAAATTTCAGACTTTGCAGCGTTCTGGCTATTCATGTTGCAGTGTTCAATCTATAATTGCAGTTTGCTCATATTAATATCTTTAATATCCATAGTTTGAGAATATGTGTATTTTTTTTAAAATTTCCCAAATAGGTCATCCTAAACAGATCTGGGTTTTGGTAAATGTTTTCTCTTCACCAGATGGCTGAAGTTAACAGAGACAGCCCAGCGTTGTTGGACATTGTGGTCAGACTTTCTCCATCTGTTGGCAGTGTGCAGAAAGTCACTGCACGAGTGTTTCTCTTCAGCAGCTGTGATTAAATACAAAGGAGGAACAGTGTGCAAGAAGCCACATTTCCACGATTGGTCGGGGTGCCCCGCTACCCAGGGCCTCCCCTCACACAGTCGCTGGAGTTAGTTTCTTATTTCTCTTGCACAGATGTTTTATATGTTTATGAGAAAACAAACACAAAAATGATGCGTTTTCATTTTTTAGATAAATGCCAGCATCCTATGTATACTTTGTCTTGTCTTTGCTTTTTAAAAATGAAAGTGTCAGATCCTGAGGTGTTGCTGGCTGTAGGCACGGGGATGGTGCTGGAGTTGTGTCCGCAGGTGTTGGTGCCTGTAGGCATGGTGATGGTGTCCCCTGAGTCAGGTGTGTGTATCTACAGGTGCTCCCAGAAGCATGTTGGGGTGAATGTGCAGGGCAGTGCACTTACTTTACCTAAAGAGAAAAGGGGAGGTACACTTGTTGAGTGGTTATGAGATGCTTATCATACTGAAGTCATGTATGAAGTGGGTGAGCTTAGCAGCCTCTATGTTGGGTGTGTCGAATATGTTCTTGTAAAATCATGTGATTCTGGAACTCTTTCCTTATCGATCCATTTATAGTACTACTCACTGTATTTCATTCTATGAACATAATGTTTATTTAGCTTGCCCAGCATTGGGAGGTGCTTAGGTAGGCTTGTGTCTGCATTATTCTGTCTGTGTGTTGGTATCTGATCAGGAGGAATTGCTGGAAGCTGGAGGGAGAGAAGCCTGCAGATGTGACCAACGCTGCGGAGTTGTGCTCCTTCGGCAGTGTTGGACCAGCAGTGCCTGGGAGGGCATCTTCCCCACGCTCTTGGCAGTAGGATGTGTGTTTGAATGCATGTTGCTTTGCCCTCTAATAGGCCTCCTGTGTTAGTGGGGTACTTGTCTCCATTGACACACAGTGAGTGTCTTTGTAGGTTGATGTGTCTAGCCCAGGAAAATCTAACTTCCTGTTAGAATGTGATGTGTCCGTGGCAGACACAGCCATCAGATGACAGTAGTTTTCCCACAGCTAGCAGGGCCCAGGTGGGTTTCCCAGTCTGCCACACAGGATGTAAGCAAGCTTCCCCCACCTCCCTGCTCTGGGCTCTATTAGTGTTGGCTGTTTCCTCTAAAACTCATTTGGTCCCTCACTGCCTCTGTCAACTAGCACAAGCTTCCAGAGGAGACATGCTAAGATAAGTCCCTCGGGCTCCGGGCCATCCCATCTGATTCCACAGGTGCCTTGACACAAAGCACAGGTGCAGGACTCCGCCAGCGGTGCTGTGGCTGAGCCTGTTTGGGATCAAGTCAGGGACCTGAGGTGCTTCACCGTGCCTCAAGCAGCAGCTTCCACCTTGGAGCAGAAAGCAAGTACATGTTGACAAATTGAATTCTTTGCTCAACCAAAAGTTTTCTTGACAGCTATCCTTTTTTGTTTTGGTTTGGTTTTGCTTTGCTTTGCTTTGCTTTATCTGAAAGCTCAAACTAGCAATTAGAACTGCTCAGCAGTAATGGCCTAAATCACATTTTAGTCACCAGGACACCCCCAATGCGGGGGCTCAGTGAAGTCAACATTTTGTACTTTAAATAGCAGTTCAAATTAGAGTTGATTCTAGTGGCACTTCACTGTTTCCTAGCTACTATTTTGATTACTCTTTGGACTCCTTAGCCTTAGTGATCTGAGTAATTGTATTCTTACCCCTTAAATGGATTAACCTAAGTTCTAATTTGTGGATATCTTCATATTTTGAACAATGAGTATGTTTATGTAAATCATATTTATACCATTTTTTCTTTTCCCAAAGAATTATTATCATAGAAAAAGAGAAATACAATCATTTCTACAACCAAAAAGGTGACTTGAGGATGGAGCGTAGTATGCTGGAAGAATTGGAAAATAAATTGATTAACAGCAGGAAAACAGAAAGTAAGTTGGGTTTGCGGTGAGCTACAAACTGCTGAGTGATTTTAAGTTGTAGTTTTGCTATGCACTTTGTCTGTCATTCTTTGTCAAAATACTTGAGTTGGTGCTAGGTTTGTCTATCAGGCCCATGTCATTTCTTCAGGTCACCACTAAGTCATTCCATTCGGGCTGCCTTTTATATGTCTTTGTATTTTTAGTAAGGAGTGGTTTTGTGTTCTTGATTGATCAGCCAGTAAATTCTGTTCAGTTTCTTAGAACAAACGTTACTTGGTCCTTGGGCTTTGTGATTTGAGCTCATCCCTCTGGCATAGCCTGGCCTGCACTTGGTGAGCAGCGACAGATCCAGAACCACCCTTGGGCACGTGGGTGAGATGGCTGGGTCACACGGGGGCTCACACCTGGGTGTCACCGCCACGGTCCAGCCTGCAGCTGCAGTTCCCAGTCACTGGTGACACCCAGGACCACGCCTGCCTCACAAAGCTCTGCGACAACACTGTCTATCCTTGGGAAGTCAGACTGCAGATGCTACAGTCTTCAGTACTGCTCAGCTTTCCTAAAGGAAAAAGCAACTCAACCTTATGAAATGTTAAGGTTTATGATACAGACATTAGACTCCAATGATACTCCCCTATTGCCAAATAAAAGGAATTCCTAATACGAGTTTTTTAAGAATGTAAGGTTACCCCATTTTTAGGAATAACGTTTGTCAGGTGGTAGGAAGGCCATTTTCTTCCCCGAGGTGGAATGATAGGAAGACCTGTTGTGAATGCCGGGTTCCACTTCCCTCTGCTCTTAGTGCAGTGGAGAAATGTGGCCATCCCAGAGTTAGCATTTTTTACTATCCCTCCATTCTTTTGGAGACAACTGCGAAACAGATCTTTCTGTTTTCTGCCATTGGGCAGAATATCCTGCTTGCTATTTTTGGGTTACTTGATATTCCCTTTTATGAGAAACTTTGACTTTCTTACTTCTCTTGGCTTTATGGCAGCCAGGGGAGGAAGGCCATGTCTTAGGGGAGCGCTAGGGAAATGCCCCCTCATGTGTGATGGCTCACAAGTAGCAGACACTCAAAGGGTTCATGTCATCCTAGCCTGCACCTATGTCACATTGCACTTAAATGCTTTGTCTGTGCAAAGTGTGACTTCCAAATGCATATGCAAAAGGATGATTTGTCATACAGCGATTTTTCTGTCGCTAATGAAACTATGGCAAAAACAAGACAAACGATACTTATCTTCACCAGACATGTTTGTTGATTCACTGTCTAACCGTGAGAAAGACTCTCTAAAATAGATTGGACAAAGTTTCTGCTTCTGTGGAGTTAGTAGATTTTAGTAGAAACACAGAATTATCCAAAGTTATACTTTTTATGTACACACACATGTGCGTGCATGTATACGTACGTGGTGAGTGGGAGATAATTTGAATATTAGCATTGGCTTTAATTAATAGGTGAACTTTAAAAATGAAGTTCTTCTTGAGGGCCTTTTGACAGGGCTCTTGGCTTCCTGCTCGCGGTGGAGAAGATGCAGAGCCAGCCGAAGAGCAGGGCCCAGTTCAGTCAGCTCGTGTCACCATTACTGCAACGTGTGTGCGTGAAGGAGTGTCTGTGGCATTAGCCGCATAATTTAAATAGCTGCTAAGGAGTTTTACCGCACAAAGTGTACGTGACAGCTTCCTCTCTCTGCTGCTGCTGGAGACTGTCAGAAAGTGTCCTGGAAACCCATCTATGTCTTGGGTTCTTAAAGTGGGAGCGGCATCGTTTTCTTTCTTGTTCTTGGGTTGAGCCACGAGTCCTGTGGCATGGATACCATCACATGGTACCTAAGGTGCCAGTTGGTATCACTCACCCATTAGCGGCTATTTTTGGATGAAGTCAATTTCCAGTGGAATATACGTCAGTATTCACAGAAGTAGTTACTGGTTAGATAGTTGTAATATTTCTACCATGGAGCTAAGATCAAATTCTGTTTGTATATATCACAACAATCCAAAGAAAAGAAACATGCTGTTAAAAACCAAGCAACCATGGCTGAGTGTGCTAGGTGCTGATCTGTGCAGTCACAGCAGTGAGAACGTGCTGGAGTCGGCCTCCATGCCTGCTGCTCGGGTACAGACTGGCACACTGGCCTGCTCTCTTGAGGGCAGGGGCGCCTCAAGCAGCGGCTGTCTTCTGTGGCTATCTTCTGCTGCGTGGGTGTGACTAGTTTACGTGTGTAGGATTTTGAATTGTAGCAACATTTGTCACAGAATTATTTTAAAATACATTCTTCTTGCTTATAGGAACAAAAATCCAACAACAGTTGGCCAAAATATATAACAATGTAAAGAAACTTCAGCATCAGTTAAAAAATGTGAAACCTACACCTGATTGTGAGTAGTTCAAGTGTTGTAATCTGTTCTGTGTACAAGTGTTTTTAGTGTTCACTGGAGAAGTGTGTACTTCTCTAATACAAAATGTACCTGTTTTTCTAGTTCGTCATTCATGGAACAGAACCTTACCATGCAGGGATTATAAGGATATAGTCTAACATCTGACGTTTGTGTAGATGTTTTTCCTTTAAAGCACAACAAATTTTTAAGACATTTATGAGATAGCTGGGGTAGTTACTGGTGTCATTTATAGGATGGAAAATCTGTGATGGAGAAAAGTTGCCATTTGGCTAACTGGTGGGACAGAGGTAAGGACTGCTTTGCCCAGCACCTGCCTTTGGAAGTCGTTTCAGAGGCATTGCGACTAAAAGTACTTCAGAAGGTTTGTGGAAAGTGAAATTAAGAGACAAGTTTATTTTGATGTGAATTTTGAGATCTATATGATTTCAAAATTTGACAGATTATGTTTTTTTCATGAACTTTTTGAAGATCTGTTTTTTTCTTTTATTTGAAAGGCAGAGTGACAGTGAGAGAGAGAGAATACTCCTCCTTTTGTTGATTCGCTCCTGCAGCTGGCCACAACAGCCAGGAGTGACTGGATCATTTTTGAAAGCCAGGATCCAGGAATTCCATGCTGGTCTCCCATGTGAGTCCAGGGGCCCAAGCTCTCGGCCATCTTGCATTGCCCTTCCAGGCACATTGGCAGGGAGTAGGACGGGAATGGAACAGCTAGGACTCTGGGCCCCGGATTTGGAAGCTGGCTTAAAGATGTTTTGTATGTATGGATTTCAAAAGTGTTTTATATTAAATTACATAGCTTAGAATGATATGTTTGACGAATCTCTGAACCTACTGTCATACATGAGAAAAGATAGCAGCTGTATCAGTACTTCTTGGGTTATACCGACACTCATGTGGGAGATCTAAGCAGTGAAGCAAAGTGCTCAGGCTGGGTGGGCTCAGGAAGCACATGTTGGGTCAAACCTAGGGTCTCTGACTTGCATGAAATTGGTGGCAAGTCACTTGATTTCCCTGAGCTCTGAAGTGGGATGATCATGAGGTTATGTCAGGACGGCTGGGGAGGTGGAACGGATAGGGACACACAGCATGTAAACACATTGATAAGCAGGCATACTTGTCAAATTAATGAAATGATCGAAATAGAGAAGAACATGAATTAATATTTTAATACTAAGATATTTCATAAAAATGATAGAATAAGTGGACAAATGTATTTACATGTTTTAAAGATTTATTTTATTTGTTATTTGAAACGTGAAGTTATACAGAGAAGAGGAGAGCCAGAGATCTTCCATCTGCTGGCTCACTCCGCAAGTGATCGTAGCAGCTGGGGCTGAGCTGATCAGGATCCAGAAGTTTCTTCCAGACCTCCCAGGGGCCAAGTACCTGGAACATCCTCCGCTGTTTTCTCAGGCCATAGGCAGAGAGCTGGATTGGAAATAGAACAGCTAGAACACGATTTGGTGCCCACGTGAGATGCCAGCACTGCCGGTGGAGGCTTAGCTACTTCTCTGTGATTCCAGCCCTATGTATTTATTAAAAACAAACAAACAACAACAGCAAAAAAAAAAAAAAAAACAGAAACAAACTGTAGGTCAAGTTACAAGATGGCTTTAGAAACTATTGATATGTAACTTGAAAAGCTGATACCCCAAAAACGTACCTGCAAATGAGAGCAATCAAGATGACGAGCCTAAAAGAAAAATGGCAAGGATTATAATGTATATGGTGTGACAAATTAAAAAAAAACAGATTGCAGCTAATGAATGATGGTGAAAATGATGATGATTGCAGCTGGCATTGTGGTGCAGTGGGTTAAGTTGCCTCTTTGGGTGTGCCCATACTCTTTATCTGAGTGTCTGATTCCAGTCCAGCAGTCAGACCCAGCTCCTGCCTACTGTCCGTGTGAGGCAGCAGACACCGTCAGGGCCTGAGCCCTCTCCACCTCCATGGCACGCCCCAGGGCAGCTCCTGGCTCTCTGCGCAGGTGTCTGGGGAGTGAACCAGTGGGTGGGAGATCTCTGTCACTCTGCCTTTCAAATAAATGAATGTCTAAAAGGAAGAAAGTCACCAATGACTTTTGCTTCTCCTTTGGAAATGGGTTGTAAGAACATCTGAAGGCTCTCCCAGGATTGGAAGAACGGTAAAACTGTAGCCAGCACATGTGGGATGTGCATGCCTTCTTATTTAACATTTTAGGATTTAATAATTGTCCTCTAAGTTTACCTTGAGCCTTCCAAAATATAGATGCAAGGATATTTATAGCTATTAAAATATTTAATGATGGGCCCGGCGCGGTGGCGCAAGTGGTTAAAGGTCCTCGCCTTACACGCCCGGGATCCCATATGGGCACCAGTTCTAATCCCGGCAGCCCTGCTTCCCTTCCAGCTCCCTGCCCGTGGCCCGGGAAGGCAGTCGAGGATGGCCCAAAGCTTTGGGACCCTGCACCCGCATGGGAGACCCGGAAGAGGCTCCTGGCTTTGGATCGGCATAGTATCGGCCTGTTGCGCTCACTTGAGGGGTGAATCATTGGACGGAAGATCTTCCTCTCTCTCTCTCCTCTCTGTATATCCGCCTTTCAATAAAAAAAAAATAATAAAAATAAATCTTTAAAAAAAAATAAAAAAAATATTTAATGATAGGAAAACTATGTAATGAGAAAGTAATTACAGTCATAGAAGTTAACTTTTGAGCATAGCATTCCTTAGACTAAGACATGTTTCAAATTAGAAAAACATTTCACTTTTTTCCTTAATATACCTGAACTCTTGGTGATACTCAGGATGATAAAATAATTCTTCCATGTGTTTTTGTTTTCACAGTTGTTGAAAAGCTCAGAGAAACGATGGAAGAAATTGAAAATGCAATTAACACTTTTAAAGAAGAGCAGAGGCTGATGTATGTGTTAACTCATTTTAATATAAGTATTATTGATCATGGATTAGGTTGCTGTAAACAGAATTTTGTTTATTTAATGAATATTAGAAGGAATATAAAACCTGTATTTGTTTTAGGCTTTAAATCACTTTTCATGTTTAAAGTTACAATGAATTTTTGCTCATGTTTGGCAACCATAAAATCCTGAATAAGATACCGAGAGTGTTATATTTCTGAGGACTCTCTTTGAAAGCGTGCATCTAGGAATGTTGGTAGTGTTGATAATGTGAGGGGGTAAGGGAAGGGCTAACGTGGGCTACTTTGCATCTTCTCACCCCTCTGACATCTTAGATATGACAAGCTTATTAAAGAAGAGAGGACAGCTAATAATGAGTTGACTGCGATATCAAAAAAAATTGACATGTGGCCTTTGGGCAATTTAGAGAAGGATAAGGCTCCCAGGGCAGCCTCGAGCAGAGTTCCGGGGGACAAGGGACCACCTAGCACCCTTCCAGAAGAAGTCGTGGACTTTGAGAAGTTCCTGCAGCAGACAGGAGGGCGGCTGGGCGGCTGGGATGCGTACGATCATCAGAACTTTGTGAAGGTGAGAAACAGACACCAGGGGAAGCCAGCGTTTGTGGGAGCAGCTCTCGAGCACCTCCCAGGAAGAACACAGGAGGAGGTGCAGCAGCATGAGAAGTGGTACCAGAAGTTCCTAGCTCTGGAGGAAAGAAAAAGAGAGGTAAGGCTAGCCAGAATCGTCCTTGTTCATTGTATGGGTGTGGGGCATGGACTCTTGTCACTAACTCTGCAGCAGAATTGTGGGAAGTGTGCTGACAGGAGGAAGTGGAGGCATTGCAGGTCAGGCAGCAGTGGTTCCGAGCGGTGCTCCCCCAGGACATAAGCAGCAGGTGGATCAGACCATTAGGAGGGGGTTCACTCCCCGGGTAGGAGTTGTCCAGCTCTGTCCTGTCTTTGGAAGGAAGGATATTAGCAGCAGAGGTCACGTGGTTTTCAATAGAAAGTCAAGAGGTTTCTTGACTTTTGACAGTTTCTTTGATTTTTGGACTTTAACTGTGCCTTGCTTATTTTAATGACTCCAAATGTTGGCTACTCCGGAGAAAAAAATGAACCCTTCATTGTAGCAAATACCTAAAGAATTTCATTTTCACAGAAATGTTATTCTGGCTTTCATTAGATCAGCGCTTCTTGGCCTCAGCAGTTGTGTGGGTTGCAGAAGGCTTGCCGCTTCCCTTTCCCTGCAGCCCTGAGGTGTTCCTGACTTGTTAAATGTCTCGCCGTCCCTAGACATTGCCACGTATCAAAGTTGCCCCAGTTGAGAAGAAGTGAGGATCCTAGGTTTAGTCCTCTAAGCCTTTGCCATTTTGAGATAGACGTTTAGTAGATTTCTTAATGAAGGTCTCAGACCTCTTCGGTTTAACAAGGAGGTGACTTTTGTCCAGTGGCTGATGTACCCAAGGGCCGCTGAAGAAATACTGGTCGCATCACTTCATGTAAAGCCCTAGAGGACATGGCTGGGTCGTCTTGTGCTCATTGCTTCTTCCTCTGAAAGAAGTGGGGGGGGGAGGGGGAGGTTCCAGAGCATATGAAACTGTGTTATGAAATAATAATTTTTAAAAAGTTAAGGAGATTAACTTTCAGGGCATTAAGGAACAATTTTGAAAGGTGACCAGCAGGTCATGAGGGACAGAGTTCTTCTGAATTGCATTCCTTGGTAGCCTGGGGTCGGCAGGAAAAGGAAGATCCAGAATTCCACCATCAGAGTTTCTAGAGTTACAGTAATTTTTTATTATTATTTAAAATTTTTTCATTGGAAAGGCAGATTTACACAGGAGAGGCAGGGAGGAAGATCTTCCATTTGCTGTTTAACTCCCCCAAGTGGCCACAGCTGCTGGATACTGAGCTGATGTGAAGCCAGGAGCCAGGAGCTTCTTCTGGGTCTCCCACGTGGATGCAGGGTCCCAAGGCTTTGGACCGTCATCTCCTGCTTTCTCAGGCCACAAGCAGGGAGCTGGGTGGGAAGTGGAGCAGCTGGGACATAAACTGGTGCATGCAAGGCGAGGCTTTAGCTACTGAGCCATCACGTCAGGTCCACATTAGTAATTTTTTTAAAAAGTGAAAGTAGAAAAAGCATTGTTTGTTAAAAAAAAAAACCAAAACGAAAACTTTTAAACACCTGGCCTTCTACAAATAGGGTTCTTTCTAAAAAGATGAAACTGAGGTCACATTTCAGACAATGGTGGTGGTTTAAAAACACTTCACCCATGCCGTCTTTTTTTCCCTTGATTTAGTCTATTCAAAATTGGAAAACTAAAAAACAGCAAAAAAAGGAGGAAATTTTCAAGTTAAAGGACAAGGCAGACAACATGCCTGTGCTTTCTCGTAATGAAAATGAAGACAGTCCAAAACAGAAGGAGGAACAAAGAAAGAAGCAGAAATTGGCAGTTGAAGCTTGGAAGAAACAGAAAAGTCTAGAATTGTCCATGAAACATGCTTCCCAGTTAAAAGAAGAAGAAGAGAAACAGAAGCGGCAGCAGAAAGCACGCCAGCGTCAGTTTAAACTGAAGCTGCTGCTGGAAGGCTACACCCAGCAGAAGAAAGAGCAGGAGGAAATGTTGAGGCTTGAAAAGGAGCTGAGGGAGAAGGCAGAAAGAGCAGAGAAAAGAAAAACAGCTGCTGGTGAAATTTCCAGGTTTCAGGAAAGAGTGAGTAAATGTTTTCCTACATTATTTGTAAATGTTATGCATGGAGGCCGTGGAGGCATTATATCCATGTTCATGTTGGCGAAACCCAGTGCCTCTTCCATATGTTAGACCTGTGCAGGCGGTGGGAACTGAGTGTGCAAGCAGTGTCCCTGGTTCCTAGCAGGTGGCGGGGAGCAGGGAGGACAGGTGCAAGCCTGCATGTGTCACAGTGGAGAGAGCGAGGAGGCCCAGCGCAGGGAGGACAGCGCAGGCCGAGTGCTGGAGGAGTGGACGCTCTGCTGGGTGCTTTGGACAGCCAGGAGCAGGCAGGAACCTGGGAGAGGCCAGGAAGGCAGCCACTGTCCCGTGTCCCTGCAGACCAGCTGGCTTTACCTGCAGGGGACTTGCCCACCATGATGTCAGCTCACTGCTACCAGGGGGTTTGTGTGTTTGCTCTCCCCAGACCAGAGGGTCATGTGCAGTATAGGTATGTGCTGCGTACTTCAAGGCATCATGGTGTGTTTGGGTGGCAGGATTACAGATGCTTAAATATGTACACGAGAAATACCAACAGGGAACCGGAATCCAGACAGTTATAGACACAGGCTGGCTACACATGAGATACGACGGTCAGGAACTGCTCATGCTTATCAGAGCAGACAGCAGCGACATTCATGAAACAGAGAGAAGAGGGGAAAGTATTGAGTGAAAAAAATAAAACAACTCTCAGGGATTTTGATTTATTTCTGTTAGCCCACATGTAACAAAGGGTTGATGCCTCCTTGCCTCTCAGAAAGAGAGCGACTTACTAAAAGAATGAGAGAAAATATAACGTGAGACTCCTTAAACCATGTGTATCCACATTGGTAAGTGGGAGTGAACTGAGTTCACTGGAGACAGGAGCTGTGGACGGACTCCCAGACTCCCACCGCAGGGTGAACAGCTGGGCGTGGGGAAGGACACTGCGCTCTCCTCTGCTGGGAAGGTTACCATGGAAGGTGGATTGATGGTTAAGGTAATTTACTTTAAAACCAATGTGAGACTTCCTGATCAATTTTACTTTTAATATTGGTTTTATCTAGGATTTACAAAAACTTGAATTGAAAATTTTAGACAGACAAGCAAAGGAAGATGAAAAGGCAGAAAAACAAAGAAGACTGGTGAAATTAAAAGAAAAGGTATTTTGTGCTGAGATCCTGACCCTAATTCTACATGTTTTCTTTGTATCTTGCTTAATTTCTGTGTCACCTACTTCAAGTTTTATACTTGTGTACTTGCATATTGGAAAGCGTAACTTTTAAAAGCAGCTGCTGTTTGAATTTGAACATTTCTTTCATCCGGAAGTATTGCTCCCTGTTCACCCTTCTTCCCATTCTTTGAAATGGACCTGTTTTCAGCTGACAGCAGCTGACGACACTGTTGGCTCTCATTGGTGTTCCGAACTGAAGATTTTGTCACCTGAAGGGGTAAAGCCAAGGACTGACGGTGACATATCTGCATTTGTGATTTGGCTGCAGTGTTACTGACACATCTGGATAATAAAACTAGGAAAAATAAACAATAGTAGTTTACTGATAGACTGATGCAGTCTTAATTTTAAGACATATTTTAAAAAGATTCAACAGAGGAAAGACAGTGAGAAAGATCTTCCATGTACTGGTTCACTCTCCATATGGCCGCAATGGCCAGAGCTGGGCTGCTCCGCAGCTGGGAGCCAGGCACTTCTTTCGGGTATCCCACGTGGGTGCGGGACCCCAAGGACTTGACCCATCCTCCATTGCTTTCCCAAGCTAGAGGCAGGGAACTGGATGAGAAGTGGAGCAGCTGAGACATGAACTAGCATCTAGGTGGAGAATAAGCCCACGGAGCCTCAACGCCAGCCCTACAGTCTTAATTATAGCTGTGGGACACAATTAGAAGCTTACTGAAGGGGGTTATGCATAATTTCATTACTGTTAATATTGAGGATGTGTTCTGCAGTTGGTTTGTGACTGAGTCTCTTAGTGCCCTTGAGGTAACTGGTTCTGTCTGACTTTTGAGTTCAGGTTGAAAACCATGTTGGGAGAGATCCCACGAGGCTCCATAGACCCACCAAAGGCTGGGAAGAACGAATGAAAAAGATGGGACCAACTGGCTGTGGGCCACTGCTGCACATCCCACACAGGTGAGAAGATGCGTGTCCCGTTACACAGTGCACATGTCTGTATGGTACCTTATGGTAAAAGGCTGAGGGAAATCAGTATGCAGTTTTTTGTTTTAAAGATGTATTTTTATTAGAAAGTCAGAGTTACGGAGAGAAGGAGAGACAGAGAAAGATCTTCCATCTGCTGGTTCACTCCCCAAGTGACCACAATAGCTAGAGCTGAACCAATCTGAATACAGGAGCCAGGAGCTTCTTCTGGGTCTCCCATGTGGGTGCAGGGTCCCAAGGCTTTGGACTGTCCTTAACTGCTTTCCCAGGCCAAAGCAGGGAGCTGGATGGGAAGTGGGGCCAGGTAGAACACGAGCCGTACCCATATGGGATCCTGGTGCATGCAAAGCGAGGACTTTAGCCACTAGGCTACCACACCAGGCCCAGTATACAGTTTTCAAAGTTAACTATCATGATTTTAATACCTACATATTTCTAATTGTTCTTTGTTTTTTTCCTTAGGGCCGTTCCGACGTGGAGACAGGGATTGTAGGGGATGGTGAAATCGGTGTTGAGCTGAGAGTGCTGTGCTGTGTGGTTATGCCAGCAGAAGGGCACCAGCTGTGCTTGTAACATCACTGTCCTGCTAGACGGTCCGCGTGCCCTGAGAGCTGTAACGGGTACTGTTGTGTTGCACAGCGGGTTCCTGCTGGGGGCGTGCAATATTTAATTTGTATGTTAGCTTGTTAATGAAACGAAAGGTGTTCAAACATGCTCATGTTACAAACATTGTTCCGTTTAATACTCAGAACATTTCAAAGATACTTTGTCATGGCATGAAAAAAATGGAGGCAAAGATTTTTAAGCCAAAATTTTTATAACTTTTGTAACTTGTAGGTAAGTTGGCTTGAGTGAGAAATGTTAAGTGGTTTTCTTGTTTTGAGTTATGAAGCAAGTTATTACTTTTCTAAGTTTAACAAATTGGTAATTTGATTATAAGAATTTTGTGTAATAAACATTTTGTATTTGTTTTACGCATGCTTTGTTTTTTATGGAGAATATTTTAAAAATATGCCTCGGCCCTCATATGTGGTGTGATCGATGGATTCTTTCTAGTTCCTTCAGCTATTGTTTCCCTTCAGCCTTTCTCAGCTTCACACATTTATAAAATCTTGTGTCTTCACATCTTTGTGGCTGATGCAGTTTTCTTTTCTGCTTCTGTTTGCCTTTTTCAAAAACAGGAAAATCCTTTGATCGGAAACAAGCCAGCTTCTGGAGTTCTGTGGTTTCTGTTGGCGTCACCCGAAATGTTTTGAAATTGCTAGGCTCCGTGGTCAGGCGAGAGTCAACTTTAAAATACATCACAGTAGAATTCAGGTTTTCGAATTATCTCAGTTCTTGGCTATAATTCTTATGTTGTGTGGGGAAGGTGCCATATTTGTAAATATACAGCAAACTTGTTTTTTATAGTATCTTTAGTTATAATTTGATAACATTTAGGTTAATTGCTTTACAGATTTACCTTAAGCAGTGGTAAAGCTTTTATTTTCCAGCAAAATCATGAGTTTCAACTTTGGATACAATTAGTGCTGAATGAGAAATGACATGGAAAACCTCTAATCAGGAGTGCCCAATTTATTCATGTTCTTGTTCCCTGTAACTATTAAAAATGCGTCGAAGTGGTTAGCAATAAAACACAAAGGGACCAGTTTTAAAACGAGCAAGTAGCGGCAAGGCACAGAACTCCTTACTGTGCTTGTTGTCCATGTTCACCCAACTGCAGCTTTCAGCTTCCTGCCTCTAAAGATGAGCATGCTGGGGGATAAAATGGAGTTTGTTGTTTCTTTTTTGAAGATTTGTTTATTTGAAAGGCAGAGTGAAAGTGTTCCTGCATTGTCTGGTTGGCTCTCTGAATGGCCACAAGAGCCCGGGGCAGCCCAGCTGGGAGCCACGCACCTCCTCCAGGTCTCCCACCTGGGTGCTGGGTGCACGTCAGGGACCTCAGCAACTTCTACTTTCTGTTCCCTAAGCAGGAAGCTGGATCAGAGGTGCAGCAGCCAGGACTCGAACCAGTGCCCACAAGAAAGGCTGGCAGCAGCCTAACCCACTACGTCACGGTGCCAGCCCCTGTTATTTAAGTATGTAAGTTTCTTTGAAGAAAGCAACCTTTCTAACTGAATCTTACATGACAACTGTATTAGGAGTCCTTCATGTAAAAAACAGCTGATGGTATCCTTCCTTCTGCCTCTTATGGGGCCTGGTGCATGTGCCAGTAAGAGACTGAGGAGGGTTAAGCCCCGGCTCACTGAAAAGGGCTTCCAGGCCTCCGGGGTGTCCTGCACGGCGTCCCCGAAGGGCCAGCTGGGAGGACACGGGGTGGCCTGGGGTGTCCTGCACGGCGTCCCCGAAGGGCCGGCTGAGGGGACACGGGGTGGCCTGGGGTGTCCTGCACAGTGTCCCCAAGGGCCGGCTGGGAGGACACGGGGTGGCCTGGGGTGTCCTGTACGGCATTCCCAAAGGGCCGGCTGGTGCTGGGGGGACACCGGGTGTCCCTCGGGGTTGGGGTGTGTGCGGTGACCCGGGTTGTGGAGGGTGATCCGGGGTGTCCTGCACGGCGTCCTCGAAGGGCCGGCTGAGGGGACACGGGTGACCCGGGGTGTCCCTCGGGGTCGGGGTGTGCAGCTTGACCCGGAGTTTGCAGCGAGACCCGGGGTGTCCTGCACGGCGTCCCCGGAGGGCCGGTGACGCGGGGTGTCCCTCGGGGAGCGGGAAGCTCGCGTGCAGTGGCAGCTCCTGACGAGTCGTGCGTGGGCGGAAGGCTGGGGGCCGCCCACCCCGCGCTGTGCGCCCGCCCCGCCCCGAGCTCCCGCCCGGGCCCCGCCGCGCGGCGACTGCTTCCGGGTCGCGGCGGCCGTCGCTTCCGGAGCAGCATGGCGGCCGTGGAGGACGAGCCGCTGTCCGGGAGCGGAGACGGGGAGCGGCTGGACTTCCTGCGGGACCCGCACGTGCGCTTCTTCCAGCGCTGCCTCCAGGTGCTGCCCGAGCGCTACTCCTCGTTGGAGACCAGCAGGTGGGCGCCCGAATCCGCGGTTCCCGGCGGGCGGGACAAGGTCGGGCGCGCGTGGCCGCCCGGTGGGTGACCGGCGCCCCTCTGCGCCCTCCGCGCCCCCCGGCCTGTCCCCGCGGAGAACGACTTTCCAGGAGCGCTCCCCGGGCGGGAGGCGGTGGAACCGACGGACGCGGGGTGCCCTGTGTGGCCGGGTGCCCCTGGGGTTGGGGTGCTCCTGGAGTCGGGGTGCCCCTCGGGATCGGGGATGTGCTGCAGGACCCGGGGTGTCTCGTCTGGTTGGAATGCCCTTCGGGGTCGGGGGTGTCCGGCGGGACCCGGGGTGCCCTGTGTGGCTGGGGTGCTCTGGAGTCGGGGTGCCCCTCGGGCGGGGGTGTCCCGTGTGGCAGAAGTGCCCCTTGGAGTCGGGATGTCCTGTGTGTGCGGCGGGACCGGGGTGCCCTGTGGCCGGGGTGCTCTCGGGGCCGCGTTGTCAGTTCGCTTCCTTCCCGGGCTGCTGCGTCCGGAGCAGCTCAGGACGGCGTGGTTTTGGGTGGTTCCTGCAGTGGTGGGTTCCGGGGAGGAGCTGAGCTGGACGTGGCTGGAGGGCGGTTCGGGGGACCTTCTCCCTGGCCCAGAGCATCCTGGCAACGCCCCTTTCCTGTCATCAGCCTTGAGGTGCTCCGCAGTTTTTCCTCTGACAGCCAGACCTTGGGAGCCGTCACACGCCGGGGCTGGTGTGCCCGAGTGGCTCGTTCGCCCCATTTCGAAGTTCCTTCGCCTCAGCCGCTGCGGTGGCCGCCGCCCTGGCCACCTGCTGCTGTTCAGTCGGCTGGCCTGGCTGGCCGCACGTGGCCGTCAGCAGAGGTCTGGTCCAACGGAAGGGACACCCTAGAGTTCCAGGACTCAGCCCTTTGCTTGTGGCTGAAAGGTGTGTTTTAAAAAGGCAAGGGAAATCCCCGAGCCTAAGGAACTATTGTAATGAAAAATGGAGAATTTAAAAAAAAAGGTGTGGATGAATTGTGTTTGGGTCATGCAGGGAGGAACGTTGGGTGCGCTCAGAGCATTCTGTAACTCTTCCATCGCTGCACACCACCTCTGGGACCCCCGTAACATTGCAGCGTGTGGACCCGTCTCTTCGGTTGTCAGACTGTGGTTCTGCTTGCAGTCAAGGCCAATGGCAGAACTGGTGCCCCAGCTGAGGACAGCTTGCAGTCTTGGGTCTGCCCTGGGTGGCATGTTCTCTGTATAACCTTGGTGTGCTGAGACAGCCAAGTAAAGCCCTGTGTGTGCCGCTCGTCCCTTGACCAGAACTCTGGGTTAAAATCACTTTTGGTTTTCTGGTGGCTCATTTAATAACTGTAGTCAAAGTTATTAGCTGTGTCAGCTTTGTGGTTTCTTGAGCTGCGTTCTCCTTCCGGGCACAGTTCATAACTTCCCTTCATTTCGAGTCGGGTCCTTCTGTGCTATGTGTGACTGGAGCTTGATGCTAAGATGCTTTGAAGAGCTTCCAGCCTTTGTAGCAAGGATCTCGCTGGCCAGGGGAGCTGCCGTGGGGGAGTGCCTCGTTCTGCCGTGCAGCTCTGGGAAAACCTAGTTAACTTCATGTGTACGTCTCTGAGTGGATTCCTTACGCCCTAGAATTCAGCGGAATTTTCAAGGAATCACACTGTTTATAAATGCATGGGTTCGGAGAAGATAAGTGTGCTCTCATCCGTCAGGAGCTCAGCACAGTAGGGTAACTGCTTTGGGTGCGTGGTGAGAGGCCGTTTGGCTCGTCCGTGCTCTGAGCCTGTTTCTGTGCGGGCGGAGGGAGCTGCTGTCTGTCCTCCCCTGCGGCTTGCCGGTGCGGTCCACTGTGCCTTCACTAAGCACTGCAGCCCTAACCCTAAACGCTCTTTACAAAGATTGAAGCATGCTGTGTGCGCTCTTACATTGCAAGAATGGTAGATATCTTTTTAATTTATTATTTGTTTTTCAAAATATTTACTTATTTTTATTGCAAAGGCAGATATACAGAGAGGAGGAGAGACAGAGAGGAAGATCTTCCGTCCGATGAGTCACTCCCCAAGTGACTGCAACGGCCAGTGCTGGGCCAGTCTGAAGCCAGGAGCTTCCTCCAGGGCTCCCACAGGGGTGCAGGGTCCCAAGACTTTGGGCTGTCCTCCACTGCTTTCCCAGGCCACAAGCACGGAGCTGGATGGGAAGCGGAGCCACCAGTTAGAACAGGTATATGTCTAGGATTCCAGCACCTGCAAGGGGAGGACTTTAGCTGCTAGGCTATGGTGCCAGGCTCAGTGGTGAATATTTTTGACTCTTGTGATGCAGTTTAAATTACTGTAAGAGTAGCTTGTGTTTGTTACTTTTGTGAATGAGGCTGAGTTCCATGGTTTGATGGTTATGACAGAATTTTTCCCTTTTTCTCTTTTTAGGTTGACAATTGCGTTTTTCGCACTCTCTGGGCTGGATATGTTGGATTCCTTGGATGTGGTGAACAAACATGATATAATTGAGTGGATTTACTCCCTGCAAGTCCTTCCCACAGAAGACAGTGAGTGAGTTTTTGCCATCTGATTTTGAGTGTGACTAGTGCCACATGTGTTGAACAAACATCTCCTAGTGTGTGTTATCATGCTGTTGGCGTGTCTTACGCGTGTTTTATGATGAACATTCCCATTTGTTCAGATACAACACGTCAGTCTGATCTTCAGTCTCTTGCGAGAAGGATCTAGAGTCCTTGGGTTGAGCGCAGCTTCACATTGTGTCCGTCTCCCTGGGGCATCCCCAGCTGGATGACTGCTTGTTGGTTACGGGGATTTCAGGTCATGCCTGGCTAATTCTGTAACGTTCGTTTCCTTTTTCACTCCCAACTGTTCTTTTTGCCATGGAGTCTGTCTGTGGTCCTCTGGTCTTGTTCCCTCCAGTGTTTCACCAGCATTTCTTTCATGGTTTCGGAGAGATCTTCTGTCCTTTATTTTTATACTTCTTAAAACTTTCTGAATAATTCTCAGGCTTCTTCAGTTCTGTGAGCAACTAGATATGGAAAGTTTTGTAAGCTTTCTCCTTGCTCCAGTAGGTGTAAAGTTCTAATTTGGATGTAGGAATTCTGACCAGGAGCAGGCATTTGGTGTAGCAGTTAAGCCACCACTGGAGACACCCATGCTCCCTCTCCGTGGGCCTGGCTTCAGGTCCTGGCTCCCTGCTGAGGCACACCCGGGAAGGCAGCTGGTGAAGGTGCCAATCTGGGGGTCCCTGCCTCCCACACGGGAGACCTAGGGGAGTTACTGACTGGCAACTTCAGCCTGGCTCATCCCTGGGTGTTGGGGCATTTAGAGAGTGAGCCAGTGGATGGGAGATCTTGGGCAGTCGCTCCATGTATCTACCTGTCTACTTTTCAGATACATTTTCTTTAAAAAGAAGGATGAAGCAAATAAACTCTTGAAAGAACATCAAGTTTTATTCAGTGATCACCATCTACCTGGGTCCTGTGTTGTAAAAATCCGCTCCTGTGGGTTACCAGTGTGGTTTGTTGAAGTAACATTTATATATCTAACTTTGGAGAACTAAGAAGCCAGAAGGTTATTGAGAAAAACATTATTCAGCAGTCAGCGAGCAGCAGTCTGAGATCCACTGGTGGCCGGGTGGGAAGGGGGGGTTCATCAGCTCAGCAGGTGAACCCAGACAAAGAACTGCTGGTCTCATTCGATCGGCAGCAGAGACAGAGCAGCTGATCCCAAACAGGCGGTGTGGGAACAGGGTGGGTTTTCACAGCCCAGACCCCCACCCAGGCTGCACGGGGGCATCATTTTGTGTAGGGAGGCAAAGGCTGTACTGGAAATGAATTTATTTTGGGCTCAGTGCATTGCAACGACATGGCATCCTACAGGTTCCTCCTGAACTAGATCTGAGTAGCTCCCAGACCTAACGGCCAGCAGATCAAGAACTCCATGAGTGGTGCATCGGGGGCCTTTTGCAGTGTGGCAAAGGCTATGACCTCAGGGACGACAGTGAGCTGCGCATGTGCTGTGCTGGGAGCAAACTCACTTCTGGTTCAGTGCATAACACTGAAATACCACATCAAAAATAATATCGACTCTGGCACCTTACGTTTCAAAATAGATCTGTGTGGCCCTCAGACCAAATAGCCAGCAGGTTCTGGCAAGACCAGTACCACCAACAACCTAGCTGTTAGGACACCTGGTGTCTCCCTAACCCTGGGAACTGATCTAACCAGAAGTGGGAGAAAGGTTGTACAGACAACTGTGCAGCCTCAGCATGGTATCACAGGAAGTGGAGACTGGTGAGCCAGGAGCTGGGGCTAAGGAGATTGTGGTGGAAGCCTAACGTAGGAACCCAGACCTGGAACTTGCTAGAGGAAATAGCACAGGTGATTTCAAACAAAGAGCTGTGTACTGACTACAATAAATAAAATTGAATTGCAGACCTGTCAGTAACACAGCTTAGAAACCTGCCCAAGGAGACGAAGCTTATTATGACCTGCTAATTATGACCAAGAGCAAAAGAAGAGACAAAGACACAGTGAATGTTATTGAAGACTCCCCTGCAAAGGAGCATGAAAAAAGTCAATTGACGTATAGAAGAATGGCAATCAGACTCACAGCTGCCCTCTTACAGGAAACTCAACAAGCCAGAAGAGAATGGTGTGACATATTCCAGATTCTAAAAGTAAAAAATTGTCGACCCAGAACAGCATATCCAGCAAAGCTGTCATTTGTCTTTGAAAATGAAATAAAATTCTTCCAGAGTAAAGAAAAGCTCACAGATTATGCCTCTTCCAGACTTGCCCTACAAATGATTTTTAAAGATGTTCTCTTGGGCCCGGCACAGTGGCCTAGCAGGTGAAGTCCTCGCCTTGAACACGCTGGGATCCCATGTAGGTGCTGGTTCTAATCCCAGCAGCTCTACTTCCCATTCAGCTCCCTGCTTGTGACCTGGGAAAGCAGTCGAGGACGGCCAAGGCCGTGGGACCCTGCCCCCGTGTGGGAGACCTGGAGGAAGCTCCTGGCTCCTGATCGGCTCTGGATCGGCACAGCACCGGCCGTTGCAGTCACTTGGGGAGTGACTCATTGGACGGAAGATCTTCCTCTCTGTCTATCTGCCTTTGCAATAAAAATAAATAAATCTTTCAAAAAAAAAAAAAGACATGTAGTAAGGTTAAGAGAACTTTTTTGGACTAAAATCTTGGGCTTCTGTATTCCCAGTCTGAGTACTGGCTCACCGTTTAAGTTTATAGGTCCCTTCCTAGTGGAAACGGTCACTATGGCACTTGAGGACATTTAACCTGGGCCTCCAGTCACTCCAGGGCTGTGCAGGCCCTCCGTGTGTGGCGTATGAATAAGTGTGATGGCCGTTGGAGGATGGGCCATTCTGCACTTGATCTTAACCAAAAGGCTGAGAAGCATTGGAGGATGGGCCATTCTGAACGTCACGAGGAAATACTCAGGATACAGAGGCTCAGTATAGCATTGTGCCTTCTGTTCTCAGGACTTAAGTGGAGAATTCCAGACTAGAACAGAGCAAGGAGTATTGTGGCTCATTGCTTCTTTCTTTATTTTAATTAAGGGACAGACCATTAGACTCCCCAGATTCCTGCAGCAGCTGAGCTGGTCAGACTGAGGCTGGAAGCCATGGTCTCGGACAAGGTCCCCTGGGTGGGTGACCTCCTCTGCCGTACAGTGGCAGGAAATGGAGCCAGGATTTGGACCCAGGCACTGCATTGCAGGGTGTAAAGGTCCCAAGCAGATGCTTGTTTATTTATTTATTTAAGATTTATTTATTTGAAAAACAAAACAACAGGGACAGAGTGTAAGATTCATTTTCTGGTTTCCTTCCAATTGACCTCAGCTTCTGGGCCACAGGCAGAGGCCGGGAACACAAGGATACCAGGGGCCCTACATGTATATTTGGGCCATCTTCCCCTACTTTCCCAGGCATGGCCAAAGAAAAATGGGTAGGAAGCATTGTAGCCAGCATCCTGCATGGAATGGCAGCATTGGAAGTGACAGATTAACCTGTGGTGCCACCACTACCCTGCTGCCTCCACCTCCCCGCTCCTCCTCCCCTCCCCCTGTGATATCTTTATTGCTACATCATCAGATGACTGACTGTTTCTGTTTAGTTCTGTTGCAAGTGGAGCTTTTAAAGCCAGGGAGCCTGATGGTTCACAGTTGTGCAGCTAGTTGGTGCCAGAGGCAGGATGGGAATGCAGCTCTCTGTCCCTTAGCACTTGGGTATTTTTCTCATATATGGATTCTGGGCACTGAGCCCTTTGTGTATCGTGTGGTTTCTTTGTGAGACACAGATGTGGTTATGAGAATTATTTTTTTTTAATTTTTATTAATTACATTGCATTGTGTGACACAGTTTCATAGGCTCTGGGATTCCCCCAACCCCTCCCCATACCCTCCTCCCATGGTGGATTCCTCCACCTTGCTGCAGTACTACAGTTCAAATTCAGTCAAGATTCTTTCATTGTAAGCATATACCAAGCATAGAGTCCGGTATCTTATTGTCCAGATAAATTCAACAGTTTCTTGGGTAGACCATCTCTAGTCTGAAGGTAGAGCTGGCAGAATATCATCCCTATCCATTAAAAGCCCCAATACAACATCAACAACAATTTACAACGTTATGGAATTAATTGACATGGTATTGAGTAACCAATATGTTAAAAATTGCAAGTTCTTAACCACATCCTGTGACTACTTCATTGACATTTCAATTTGTGGAAAGGGATGCTAGATTTGGTGTCTGTTCCTTAATAGATCTCATAAATTATTAGAATTGTTAGGAAATGTAGATACAAGTGTTGGCTATTAAAGGGAAAAATACTGAGTGATGTCAGCTTCTGGTTGGTTTTTCAGGTGGCCGCTCCTGAGTGGCTTTGTGTGGCACATTCAAGCTCTGTAGCAGAGTTTTAGAATGAAAAAGCAGTGGTTGTGGAGACGTTGTAGAAGTAGACAATTTGTGACGATAGCCTCAGTGTGTGTTTGTGTCCTTCCTGCCCCTTGTCACCTGCTGGGGACCTTTCCAGGCAAGGCATGATTTGAACTCTCGGTTGGCCCTTCTCCTTGGAGGAAACACTATTAAACCACTAGAGGAAAGAACATTTGTTCCTGTCTTGCTTACTTGGGATTTAAGTCAGTTCTAAAACCAGAAATCTAAGAAAAGATGTTGAAAGCAACATTTTTTTTAGCTATAGAATTTTTTTTATCTTGTCTGAATCTTAGTTGACATCTAAGAAGTTGTGTAAGATATGTTTTCCTACTAGGAAACTTGGTTGTTCCTTAAGAACACCTATTCAAAATTCTTTCTGTGTTCGTAAAACATAAATGTCTATTTCTGTGTGCAGCATAATGCTACATTCCTCACTGGAGATCCGTTTGTTAAGTGCAAGCATCTTTTGAAGTGGGGATTAGAAAGTTAAGAACGTGTTTACATCACATTTTGAATACCATTAGTAGGTATGATAACATTTTATCTTAAGGACCATGCCTTTTTAGAAGCATCTCATTGTAATTTCTGATATAATTTTTACTTTAAAGATTTATTTTTTATTATTTTTTCACTGGAAAGGCGGATATACAGAGAGGAGAGACAGAGAGGAAGATCTTCCGTCCAATGATTCACTCCCCAAGTGAGCGCAACGGGCCGATACTATGCCGATCCGAAGCCAGGAGCCTCTTCCGGGTCTCCCACGCGGGTGCAGGGTCCCAAAGCTTTGGGCCGTCCTCGACTGCTTTCCCGGGCCACAGGCAGGGAGCTGGAAGGGAAGCGGGGCTGCCGGGATTAGAACCGGCGCCCATATGGGATCCCGGGCGTGCAAGGTGAGGACCTTTAACCACTTGCGCCACCGCGCCGGGCCCACACATTGTTTTTTGAATGAGGAAATACACTACTTGTCAAAGACACAATCTTTTTGTGTCTTGTTCAACTTTTATATTCTAGAAGATAGTTATGTTAAATATAAATGTACTATTGTATAATACTTGGCATATTCTTAGAAACTTAATAGTAAACCTGAAAGTTCTACGGTGTGATTTCCTCATTAGATAAGAGCTGGGACTCCGGTGTCCCAGATGGGGGCTGATTCCCGTCCTGGGTGTTCTGCTTCCAAACCAGCTCCCACTTAATGTGTCGTTCAGTGCAAGACAGCCCGGGTGCGTGGGGCCCTGCCAACCACATGGGAGACCTGGGGGCGTACCTGACTCCTGGCTTCAGCATGACCCAGTCCTGGCTGTTATTGTCATTTGGGGAGTGAATTAGCAGATGGATGATCTTTCTCTGTCTCTCTTTGTCTTTCGGATAATCTTTTGAAATAAAAGAGCTGAATATCTTTCATGTGCAGATTAGGAAATAGATTAGCTTTCCTTGTAGTTAACAGCCTAACATTCTAGTAGGTTCTAGTAATGTATCTTTCTAAGTAGTTATACATAAACATATGCATATTACATTATATTCAGATTCCCACTTTTGCTGCTCTTCCAGTGTACCCAGTTTCCATTTTTCTTAAGTAACCTGATTTGTTATCTCCATTAACAGCTTGAATGGTTTGACTTTATGGTGCTTACCAACCCAGTGGATTTTGATTCTGTGTTGTTTGTGCATTTGGTTGACCGGTCCCTACCCTTTGTGGTTTTTATGCAGTGCTGGGATAGGAGCGTCTGTACTCTCACAGGTCAGGTACTCTCACACAATGAACTTCTAGTTTGTTTTGTTACTGCTGAGCACAAACACTAGATGGTGCTATTCTTTTAAAGATTTGCTTTATCTGACAGAGTGCATGGACTTTAAAGGAGATGGGCATGCACACACAGAGAAAGTTCTCCTGTGGCTGTAACTTCCAGAGCTGATCTAGGCTGGGATGTTTGGTGCTTCATCCAGGTCTCCCATGTAGGTGGCAGGCACCCACGGAGTGATGCTGTCTTTTGCTGCCTTCCCAGGCACACCAACTTGGAGCTGAATTAGAAGCAGAATGACCTGGATGCAATTCTGCATGCTTAATAGTGGCTCACCTTGTGATGCCACAACACTGGTCCCTGGTGGTGCTGTTTAGTAACATGGGAAGCCATTTGGACGTCACTGCGAGTATGTACTCAATCCTAAGTTTGGAGTGAATTGCATGTTAATACTTTAATGATTATCACAAAGATAGGCTTATTAGAATAATGAAAGAAATCATATCAGATAGATCATGTTAGGAACCCAGAGAGAGCCTAATAAATTAAGAATGTTGAAATGTTATTTATTTATTTCTTTCTTAATTTGAGAGGCTCAAAGGGATAGGCACACAGCTCACATCTGCTCATTCATCTCCAGATGCTGACAGTGACTAGGTCAGGGCTGGGCTGGGCTGAGCTGGGGTTGGGCTGGGGCTGGGCTGGGCGTAGGGTTGGGCTGGGGCTGGGGCTGGGCTGGGGCTGGAGCCAGAGCCAGGAGCCAGGAACTTAATCTGGGTCTCTTTTTCCTATCACCCCACATAATTCTATTTTTTATTCCTTTCCAGTTTTTTTTTAAATATGTACTATTATAAACCATAATGCACATGTATTTTGTGTACTATCTCTTAACCCAGTTGTATTTTTGCATATTAGTATGTAGTTTTACTAATTATTTAATAACAGTATAATGTTCCTTCTAGTGGAACATTATGGTATGATATATGCAACCTGTTGCATTTTTTCCTTGTGGGTGCATTTTCAGCATTGCATTGTATGTATGCCTTAAATTTGAAGGCGTTGAATTAGATTCTCAGATTCACTAGGTCATAGAGTGTTTTTCTTACTCTCCTTATATGTTGGCAAGTCTTCAATAGCTTGGCAGTCTAGCAGAAAGGCACCCAACAGCATGTGTGTTGGCTAGATAGTGGAGCTGGTTAGGTTCAAGTAGGCTTCAGTGCCCTTTGAGATGTGTGAGAGCTGAATGGGAGGTGGGGACAGGTTGGACTAGTCTGCTGCACATACTGGCAAGCCCGGGAACCAGGGCAGGGGCCGGGCCTGGTGGGGGTTATTGGGGGTTGCTCCGACCAGGCTGCAGCTCCCACTGGTTTATGTGAGGGCTGATTGTGTGCTGGGCAGATTCAGGCTGGACTGTAACACCCATCAGTTCCAGCGAAAGACAGGCTGGAAATAACCGACCCAGCAATTGCAACCACCAGCTGATCAGGGCTATGGACTGTGCCAGGCCCTGTATTTGCAAGTACATACAAGAACCTAGTCTGGGAACTCCTCAGACACAGTTTCTTTAGGGATTCGTGCAATCGAGCTTCCAGACTCAGAACCCTAATCATGAAAAGACAGAGGACAGAACAAGTCAATCAACTACCCCAGCCATGTGTTGGCAGTGAGAAACAGGGCAAACGGAGACTCTAAGATGGACTATGTCAATCAGTGGATTCTGCAGTGACCACATCGTGCTTGGAGTGGCAATACTGGCAGCAATTCATACCTGCTGAACTATCCAAACCACCTGATCATGCCCCATGTCAGGGACCTGGGAGGGGTGGGAGACTGGGTGGGGCTTCTCCCTTTACCTCCCCCTTTACCCCAGATACAGGAAAAAAACAATGTGGAAATAATGGTCTTACCACTTTCCTATAGCCCTTGAACCTTTGTGCCATAATTAACTATGTAAGGATTGTCCAAAATTAAAAAAAAAATAACAGTCTAAACATCTTCAGAGAATAAGAGAATTACATGCACTAAAATGATTACCATTAGTATCTTTTTCAAAATAAATGTTCATTCATAAAGTAAAGGTGATTGGTGAAGAATGTTAAATGTAGTAGTCCCTGATTTGTTGACGGCATCATGTCAGCTACTGTGATAAATAGTTCAGGTGCTGAACAAAGCAGCAGGGGCTGAAAAGGTTACTACTAGTCCTGTGGGCCAGCAGAGCTGGGACGGGTCCGTCCCCGCAGCAGAGCCTGCTTGTACATCAGGCTGAGCTGGTCTCAGCTGTGCATTCGCGTCCCACCAGGACTGTGTCCTGTACCTGTGGTGCTGGTTTTGTGCTGGTCCTCAACATTCTCACTGTTATTGATGAGCACGGGTTCTAAGTGCGTCTTGAAGAATGAAAATTTTAGGTGGGAAAAAATTGTGTGAGCAAACAGGCGTTAAGCAAATACAAACTAAGCACCATGTTATAGTCTTCTCAAAACCAAATGTATTACTGGACTAGACTACTGAAATACGGAGTGTGTTTTCCCTGCTGCTGAGGTGCTTGATCTTGACCTTCACCACGTAGAGAGGCGTGGAGGAAGAATAGAAAAGCTCACTGGACCGGAGCTAGCGTTCCCGACCCTGTCTGTTCTGTGGAAAAGGCACTGAAGTAGAGGTGCCTTCTGCCTGCAGTGGTGAGCGGTCCCCAGCAGGCTCGGGGTGGAGCTTGTGAACTGTGGACAGGAAGTGAGACCCCCAGGAGGCTCGTGGGGCAGACCTGGTGTGTCCTGAGCACTCGGCAGCCTGAAAGTGAGACCGTGACAAGGCTTGGGGACAGAAGGCCTTCTCAGAGACTGTGGTGAAGCTCTTAGACTACATGGCAAAATAAGATGTCCTTTAAACACATACTTTTATTTTTTAGGATCAAATTTAAATCGCTGTGGTTTCCGAGGCTCTTCCTACCTGGGTATTCCATTCAATCCATCGAAGGTTAGTTCTTGGGGTCAGGAGGGAGGAGGAGGAGGGGGCTCTGGGGCGAAATAAGGGAGAAAACTGCTCCAATTCCTCAGACCTAACGGCACTGCCTGGACATGTAACCATACAAAACAGCACGGCCTTCACATGTAACCATACAAAACGGCACGGCCTGGACATGTAACCATACAAAACAGCACAGCCTGGACATGTAACCATACAAAACGGCACGGCCTTCACATGTAACCATACAAAACAGCACGGCCTGGACATGTAACCATACAAAACGGCACGGCCTTCACATGTAACCATACAAAACGGCACGGCCTTCACATGTAACCATACAAAACTTCACGGCCTGGACATGTAACCATACAAAACGGCACGGCCTTCACATGTAACCATACAAAACTTCACGGCCTTCACATGTAACCCGTACGTGTTCTTGCATCATCTCTGGATTACTTTCCATACACTCTAAATCAGCTCTCGGATCCAATGCTCATGTTATGCAAACAGTGGCAGTGCCTAGAGAAGTGCATTGGTCAGGGAATGAATACTGCTTAGTGACACTGGGTTGGCGTTCCTTTTGAAAAAGGCCTGTACGTGTCCGGTGCAGATACAAGGGCTGGCGTGGTGGTCCAGGGGAGGTAAGCTGCAGCTGCTGACCCCAGTCCCCCGCTCAGTGCTGGCTGGAGTCTCACGGCTCTGCTTGCAGGCTCACTGCGACGGCAGCGGAAGAGAGCATGACATCCTGCCTGGGGAGCCATGGGGGGCGTGAACCAGCAGAGGGAAGATTTCTCTTCCCCTCTCCCCTCTCTGCTCTTTCCCCACACATCCAGCACTCTTTCAAATAAATACAAAAACTGAAAAACAAACAGATGTAGGGTTTTTTCTGCATATTTTCAGTTTGCAGTTGTTTGAAACTATAGGTAAGGAACTGAAGGGTCCAGAAGCCAATGATGTATAAATCACAGTGAGCTCCCAAGTTGCTAAAACCTCATGTGGAGTTAGTAAATCAGGTCAGTTCCAATTTCAGTTCATAATTAACATTATACTAATTTTGCATATAGAATCCTGGAACAGCTCATCCTTACGATAGCGGTCACATTGCCATGACCTACACGGGCCTCTCGTGCCTGGTCATTCTGGGAGACGACCTGAGCCGAGTAAATAAAGAAGCTTGCCTTGCGGGCTTGCGAGCCCTTCAGCTGGAAGACGGGAGGTATGAGCAGGCTTCTCTTCTTTTGTAACACAGATGTAGACACAAAAATGAATGTTAAATAGTCTCAGGATTGGGAGTCTAAATGAAAAAAGGAGTATTTTGAAGTAATCATACATATAGTTCATCTGAACTTGGTTGATCCTTCAATGATAAGGAAAATGGAGTTATTTGTATACAGTGGAATAGTATTTGCAATATAAAATGACAAAAACCTGTCACTTTTGGCAACACGGATGAACTTATAGGACATTAGAGTAAATGGAATAAGCAAGGCACAAAAAAACAAGTACCATATGGTACTGCCCATACGTGGCATCTTAAACTGCTGTCATAAAGTAGACAGTAGAATGGCAGTGCTGGGGATGGGGGATTGGCTCTGGCTGGGTTTAGAGTTGTGGCAGGACAGAAGTATGGTGGTGCCCTCTGCTACAGAGAGGGCCATGACCAACAGCACTGCCCTGCCCCTTGCAGACAGCTGCGGAAGGGTGCTGGCGTGGACATATAGCTGAACGTCCTGCTTTCACCATTGCAGAGCGTGCTTGTGTCAGATCATGCTCTGCCCCATACGCTTGTACTTACTATGTGTCAATACAAAAAAAAAAAAAAAATGGAGGCAGGAATGAATACTAAATATTAAGTTCCAGTGGAAGATTTTCAGTGACAGTTTTTAAGATAGGATAGGAAGAAGTTGGTTTGTTAACTTGTGTTTTTTTGTGCGGTGTGTCTAAAGAAGAATCTGCCTGGAATTTTAAGATGAAATAAAGTTTTGATTTGAATTAATGAACCAGTAATAATGCCATCTACGGGGCAGAAATCCGGCCCGTTACATCCTCGTGCAGTGTTCTAGTCCCTTGGAGAGGGATTGCTGTAAATGCAGAATAAATGGAGGTTACTTAGACTATACTAGGAACTTGTTTTGAGCTCACTTTGAACCTGGGACATAGCTAAATATTTGTTTATAAATAAAGAGGCAGAAGGAAACACAAGCTGTTACCTCTCTACAGCCAACTCAGTACGTGACATTGAACAGTAGTATGATTTTGAATGTATATTTGGATGGGATTCCAAGCAAAACAGTCTTGGGAATTTCTTACTGCCTGATGGCTGCTAAACTTTGCCTGCTCCCTTCTCTGCGCTACTTGCTCAAGCTGCTGGCCGCTGCTGGCCCTGGCTGTCGGCGTGTCGGCCACGTGCAGCTGCATGAGAGACCATTGGGGACTTTGGGTGTTCATGGTTATGCTCTATAATGCAAGTAGAATGAAGTTGTTAACTCGGTGATAGGTTTTCCTACAGCTGAAGACAGGGTGGGTGTTCTAGCCCTCCGGAGAAAAATGTGGAGTCTGGTGTGAGTCAAGCATCATTTACTGTTGTTACTTTCAGTTTTTGTGCAGTACCTGAAGGCAGTGAAAATGACATGCGGTTTGTCTACTGCGCCTCCTGCATATGCTATATGCTCAACAACTGGTCAGGCATGGATATGAAAAAAGCCATCAACTACATTAGAAGAAGTATGGTGAGTGACACAGGTTCCTGTGCTGGTGTGGATGCCGTGGCCCGAGAGCCTCGCCTCTCCCGGGTCTGGAAGCAGGAGCGATAGCGTTGCTTTGTGGTTACAGTGTGAACACTCCATGGAGGAGTTACAGTGAAGGACAGATCAACCTTTCTGCCGCTAACGTTTAAAAGTAATCTAGTTTTAGGAAGCCATGTCTTTTACAGAAATGTTTGATCAGCCTCAGGAGAAAAAAGTAAAATGTTTGCTGAATAGTTTTATTTATTTGAGAGAGTGTTCCCATCTGCTGATTGGTTCTAGCTGCAGCCAGGGTCAGGAGCCAGGGACCCGGTCCGGGCCCCCGTGGGGTGGGGTGACAGGGACCCGGTCCGGGCCCCCCGCAGGGTGAGGTGACAGGGAGCCAAGGACCGGGGCTGTCACTGCTGCTCCCAGCATCTGCAGGAAACTCGAGTCTGGAGCCAGAGCTGGGACCAGCCAGTTACTGTGGTGAGGGCTGAGTGTCAAGCAGCAGGCCAGACGCGCAGCCCCAAGAAGTAAAACCTTAAAAACAGCAGCAGACTACCCTACAGGAGTCAGTTCAAACACAATAAGCTTATGATCTTCTTGGTGAGAATACTTGCTTTATTATTTTATTTATTTGAAAGACAGGATTACAGAGAAAAGAGAAGGTAAAACAGAGGGGTTCTTGTGCCCAGTGGCCACACAGGGCTGGGCCGGGCTGAAAGCAAGCGCGTAGAATTCCAAAACCTTCCCAGATGGGCCGCAGGAGCCCAGGGACTGAGCCATCCTCTGCTTTCTGAGATACAAAGCAGGGAGCTACCTCAGGTAGAGCGGCCAAGGTTCAAACTGTCAGCCACGGGGCATGCTGGCATCACAGGAAGTGGTGTAATGATGATGTTTTTATATTAAGAAGACCCAAATGAAGGGGTTGCTGTGACTCAGCAAGTTAAACTACTTGCAGTACATTCCATATGGCTGCTGGTTCAAGTCCCAGCTGCTCCGCTTCTGATCCAGGCCGCTGCTAAGGCGTCTGGGAGAGCAGCAGCATGTCCTTGGGCCCCGCAGCCTCATCAGAAACACCGAAGTTCCTCGCTCTCCACTTCAGCCTGGCTCTTGGTAGCCATCCGGAGCAAGCCAGGAGGTAAAGGATCTCTCGTCTGTCTTCCAGATAAATAAATAAATAATTGTTTAAAGAGACCCAAATGTGAAGATTCAAGGAGCTGATAGAGGCAGTAGGGTTTGGTATCACTGCTGTTTCATTGATTTGAGAGGCAGAGCGCTCCCGTCGTCAGCTGGCTCATCCCCCAGAACCTGCAGGGATGGGTCGGGCCAGCTGAAGCCAGGGCTGGGCCTCCCTCCAGGTCTCCCTGTGAGGGCAGGGACCCCACTTTGGGGATCATGACCCACTGCCTGTGGGGGCAGGCTAGGAGGGAGCTGGAAACAGGAGGGACCCGAGGCCAGGCGCCCAGCTCGGAGTGTGTGCAGATGTCCTCTCTGCCAGGCCAGCGGCTGAACCACAGGGATTATCATTATTATTGGAAAGCCAGATACACAGAAAGAAGGAGAGACAGAGCGGAAGTCCTTCCATGCTCTGATTCACTCCCATATGGCACAATGTCAGTGCTGAGCCAATCTGAAGCCAGGAGCCTCCTCCAGGTCTCCCATGCATGTGTGAGGTCCCAAGGCTTTGGGCCGTCCTTTACTGCTTTCCCAGGCTACAGGCAGGAAGCTGGATGGGAATTGGGGCTACCCGGGATTAGAACTGGTGCCCGATGGGATCCCTGCACTTGCAAAGCAAGGACCTCAGCCGCTAGGCTACTGCACTGGACCCTGAACCGCAGATTTTAATTTAAGGAGAATTTCTAGTAGAAATGGTATTTTTCCTCACAGGATTGTTTGATCTTTCACTGACAGCAGTAAGGAAGGCTTTGTGATCAAAATATTCTTTGTGCCACTATTGTCTCTTAAATAAAACTCAAGAAGTAGAATTGTTGCTTTCCAGATTTGTTATTTCCCAAATGTGAAGGATTTTTTATTTTACAGGTAAGACTATCTTACTGCAGGTCAATTTTTATTATATCAGTATTTCAAAATGAGTATAAAGGTTAATGGGATTGTTTTGTGTGTAACTCACTAGGTTCGGTAGAATTGACACGGGCGTGTAGGAAGAGCAGACTCTGACAGAATGCCGAGGGGAAGGAACTTGGGTTGTCCACGTGGCCTTGGGTTTTGCCCTGAGCCGTGGGGCACGGGTCCTGCTTCCTCAGCGCGTGGTGCTGGGGTGGGGCAGGCGCATCCGCTCGCCGAATGGCCCTGCTCTAACTGGTCACTGCAGCCCCTCACTGTTGTGTTTGCTGCTTTCCCATGTCGGTGTCCCGGTGCCCCCCCTGGACTTCCCTCCCTGCTTCACCCGGCGCGTGTTTCTGTGTGAGCGTGTCCTTGCCCTGTCCTGCCGTCTCGATCCTCTCGCTTTTGTTCCTTAGATTGGTTTATCTTTCGTGAAATCATTTTTCGTTCTCTTCTCCCCTCTTCCTGTTGTTGGTCATTTCTGTGTCTGAGGCTGTGGGTCGGGAGAGCTGCTGCGCTCCCCTCCGACGGCTCCTCTGGCGCGGGCCGACTTACACACTCGTGTTTCCTCCTGGAGTGCTTTACTGTCGGTGAGCTTTGGTTTAGAACGTCATGCTTTGCTTTTCCTGGTAAGAATTCCTACATTAAAGATGCTGCTTTCTTTTCATTGGGACAAGGTGTTTTTATGGGGACTGCTGTCTGCAGGAGGGAAGGGATTCATGGTTTTCCAGGATTTTCTCGTTTGTTTCTCAAGTGTTGAAACAGGCCTCCTCAGAGCTTCACTAGTTGCTGTAGTTTCATTTTCTTTTCTTTTCTTTTACAAAATATGCAACTCGCTAATTGTCACTTATAAAAGTCTGCAGGGTTTATGAAAATGGTAACATCACTGTTGCTTTAGCTCAGTGGAATGTGAGGCAGTGAAAACAGTGACCAAGTCGCCCAGGACCTGTTCTCCTTAGGTGAAGCAGGTGCACCTGCTTCTCTTTAGGTGCATTGTTATGAGATGGTCCCCTCCCTCACCCTCCCTGTGTCCCCTGCTTGTCTTCTGGAACCACACCCACTGTGGTGTCTGTTTCTTGTACTGTCACTGCATCCGCTTCTTTACTGCATTTTCCTTTTGGCCAGTTCCCTTGCCAGTTCTTTGTGTGAAAGGTGATGTGGGCGTATCGCTGAGAGGCGGGCTGCACCCTTTGCCGTGTGTGAACGGAGGAGCCTGCTCAGTGAGAGTTGCTAAAGGGGCGCGGCTGGCCACTGCCTGTGACTGAGAGCTGTCAGGTGTGAGACGATCTGTGTGGACCGAAGTCCGAGCAGCAGATTGTACACCTCGTTCAGTCACTCTTGCTTTCATTGCTGAACTGCGAAGAGTGTTGGTTAACTAAACTGTGTCCCTGGCACTTGCGTGTGCCAGAGCTGCGCCCCACGAGTGCTCCTGCATTGTGGTTCATGAGTGAGCTTTGTGTTGAGGCCGGACCCACTGCTGCCATCCCACCCTTGCTTCCCACAGCCCTTCCCAGCCAGGGCTGTCCCAGAGCGTGAGTGATGGCTTGTGCACCTTGCCTCTTGTCTGTCTCACTCAGCCCAGCCTCGGGTGTGCCTTCTTGGCTAAGTGTGACTTTCATGCATTTTATTCTTTTTATTCTTTTCCTGTTTTGAGTTGGGAGATTGAAATGTAGGCAGTATCCCAGGTGACCTAAAATGGCATCAGAATGTTTATAATGTTTCAGGAGTATTTTCTTTGAATGTATGTATGAGTCAAGTGGTCAAAGAATAGACCAGAGGAGCGCAGGACGGAGCAGTGTGTGCTGAGTAGCTTAGGGACGCGGCTTGGCAGCAGGCCAGATCGGGAGCTGACAGTGCCTGCTTCTCCTGCATGGGTCAACGTGCCTGTGTTGTGACAGACAGAAGAGTTAGCACCATGGCAGCTTGCTTATTCCTGGTACCATTGCTTCCCTTCTAAATTGAACAATGTTTTTCTTTTGCAGTCCTATGACAATGGGCTGGCCCAGGGAGCTGGACTTGAGTCTCATGGTAAGACATCCTGAACCGTGTCAGTGTATAGTGTTTTGTTCTGTTGATCTTCCACCCTCGGAAGTGGTGTCAGCTGTAAGCGAGGCCGATGACCTCCCGGCCATCTGCCCGTTTCCGTCTGACTCTGCTGGGCCTGTGACCATCTAGGATTGTTCAGTCCATGCTGCGTTTCTAGTCACCCATCCCATTGTTAGCTGCATGAACACACCTTGTGATTATTTCTTAATTTGTCGTGAGAAGAGAGTAACAGCTTTTCCTCCGTGACGGGACCCTGAAGGCCTAAGCCGGAGCTGCCGCCTGTTGCACAGGAATCTGTACGATTGTGAAGAGTGAGAGTTCTTGGTTCACCTTCTCAGTACAATTATCCTAAGTGGGTGTCACAGTTCATCTTGGCACTCAGCATATGTGCAGTGCGCACCCTGGCCCTGTGTCGTCTGTCACAAGCTCCCTCTCCAGGACCTGGCAGTCCCTGTATCAGCTCAGCGACAGCCAGGGCTTGTTGAATTGGAATTCCCATCAGGAGGTCAGTTTCTGTTCTCTGTGCCGCGTGAGCCCAGCCCCTGTGTGCCGTGCCTCCCTGCCCTTGCTAGCACAGCCGTCCCTCCTCTGCTCATGTGAGCACATACTGGGCCTCAGCCCAACACTGGCCGTGGTGCTAGGCCTCTTACTGCACCTGCACGGGCTTCCTCACCAGTGGACAGTTAGAAGAGCGAAGGGGAAAGCAGGCTTTGAACTAAGAATGTCTAATAAAAGATATTTTCAACATGTGTTCCTGGACTTCTGCCTCCTTGCTCTTCATTGCTGTCATTTAGATGTTTGCTGAGTATGTGTGACGAAGGGATCTAGAAGACTGGCCCGGATTTTCCTGTGAAGTTGTCTAATAGTTTGAACCCTGTATTCCCTGGACTCTGTCTGAGGTGGGGGCAGGGCTGGCAGCTGCTAGCTGTGTGGCTCAGCAGAAGCGACACAGCTAGCAGCCTGCAGAGGAAGTGCGGCGGCTCCAAGACCCCTTGGCAGCTGGGTCTGGTGCCCACTGTCGGGTGTGGAGCCACGTTGGGCGGGCACTGCAGTCCTCTTCCTGGGCATCACGTGCTCTGCGATGTGAAGAGGAGCCTGGCTGCCCAGTCGTGGTCTCCCTGACAGGGCCTGAGTCAGACAGGCCATGACTTTGAGTGGCAGGACCCAGGACTGTCTGTGAAGGGGTGCTTCATGCTGAGATCTCACGTGCAGGAGGGCTGGGCCAGGCCGAAGCAGCAGTGGGGGTGGGGGGGCAGGAAACTCAACCTGGGTGCTCCACATGGCTGGCTGACCAAGCGTACATTACGGTGCATGAACAGAGAGTGGGAGTCGAGCAGAGCCGGGTCTCTAAGCCGCGCTCTGACCAGGGTGTGGGCCTCCCACCTGGCCTCTCGGCTGCAAGGCCAGAGCCCACCCCTTGTTCCCACTGTGAGGTAACGTTCTCCGAAATGAACAGGTGTGTTTGGGAGCAGCATGAGAAAGTGCACACCTCAGTTAACCACATTCAGAGGGATTGAGGCAGATGGGGCTTTAAAAGCAGAATGAGGAAGCTGACACGTGTTCTGCTGATGCTGGAATCTCGTGTTGCAAGGATCGTAGCAGGTGCTCGGGGCTCGGTTCTATGGGTGACAGGTGACCAGGATGGCCAGGTCCCTGTTGGGCAGATACGGGGTGTTTTCCATACAGGCTGTGCGGTGGCAGCTTCTTGTGCCAGAAATCAGATCAACTTTAATGATCATGCTTTTAGTTATCTTTAGGGTTTGACAGAAGTGATTCCATTTTGATTGACAACTTTTTCATTGCCAAAATAGCTTACATCTTTATAAATTCAGTGTGGTAATCCTTTGAATTCAAGTGCTTTTCTTCAGCTACTGCTTAGCCTGGAGTCCGTTTGCTGTGGAAACTGTGTGGTGTGCAGTGGTCTTCTGGGCCATGGCCTTGCACAGTAGTCATCTGTAGCTGTGACAGCCCACCAGCTCCCCAGTGATTGAAGAGTTTACCAGAAGGCATCCCTGTATTTTGGAAGAAATGGACTTTCCTGCTTTGTGTAGTAGAAAATTATTTTCTTTCTCAGGATTCATAATATAACACTCAGAGTGCAGATTGCTTTGATGGTATGATTCTTATGACGTACATCTGGCCTTATTGAAGCATTCCGCTGCCTTGAGCTCTCTTCACGTTACGTTTCCATGTGGTGTTTAAGCATAAAGCACAGCACTTATGGGGCTGACGCATTGCAAAGGGCTGAGTCGGGCATCCCCTCTAACGCCAGCATCCCATGCTGTATTAGTTCAGTCCCAGCTGCTCTGCTCTGGATCTGGCTCCGTGCTGACACACCTGGGAAAGCAGTGAAGGATGGCCCAAGCACCATGCCCCTGGTGCTTGCAGGGCAGGCACAGACGGAGCCGGTGCCCCTGGCTTTGGTCTAGACCAGCCGGTGTGTGTGACCAGGGGGTGACTTAGCAGGTGGAAGCTGTCTCTCCTAGGGCTGCTGTTAATGATGTTTCTGCAGTTAATATTGTCAAACCCTGGTGATTTGGGCAAAGAGCATCTTTACTTTGAGCAGTGCCAGTTTGCTTTAAAGAACCCCAGCAAGTGTTTGAAACTAACGAGTCAATGAAGAGAAATTAAGGTTGGTAATTGTTTTGCAAAAATTATTCCAAGAGATTGGAGAAAATCAGCTTATTTTTCTGTTTTGATTCCCTTAAGACTTACTTAGATATCCAAGCTAATTATAAAGATTGAGAGGATGAACTGGTATGTGCTGCTCTCCGTGCTTCTCGCGATCCCGCCACCTGGCTCCTGCGGGCCACGGGATGCCGCAGTCAGCAGTGAGGTTGGCAGTGTCCACTCTAGTCTGGAATTAACAAAAAGCACTGTGACACACAAGGGTTTTCATGTTGTTTTGAATTGACAACAGATTGTGCCAGTGACTGTTGTATTTTCTTCTATGGAAAATACTAATTATTTTTTCATTTCCTGGGAAAAATAATTCCCTGGCGAGTATGTTAAATTCTTAACTGAAGCTTTTGGAGCAAACAGCATGTGTGTGTTGTCGCCCCTGGGGGCCTGGCTGCACTCTGCCTTGGCTCCCACAGCTGCTCATGGCGGCCCTGCCGTTAGCTCACTGCATGACCCTGCAGGCTTCTGTCCTCTTGCCCAGGGCACATGCAGGACCCTCCCAGGCAGGCTCTGTCTGCATGCTGTCCATTTGATGCCATCACGTTTGCAGAGCCCGTTGGGCCATGTGCAGCAGCAGTCTGACCTTGAGGACCAAGCGGCATGTTTTAGGCAGTTCTGCCTAGCCTTCCACAGGGAGTGGAAGAACTCCAGGAGGCTGTGCATGGTGCAATGAAAGATGAGGGTATTGTGTTGCAAAAGATATTGAAATCTACCCATTCCAGGGATCTCAAAAAGTTCATGCAAATACACATTGCATTTTTTCCCCCATGTTTCTGCAACAAAATAAGTTTCTCATCGTTTTTCAGACTTTGGAGGGCACGCTTACCTTTGATTTCTGTGTATTCCTCCCTCCCCTTACACTTCCGTAAAATTCTTTATCTGACCAGGTGTTGTAACCACAAATCTGATTCTAACTTGTGTGTAAAAATTCTTCTGTATTTCTGGGCAGGAGACACCAGTCGAGAGAGCCAGGCTTTGGGCTCCAGACTCCCATGCTGAAGGTCTCCAAGGCCCCAGCGGGCTCCAGGCCGTGGGGCTGCAGGGCTCCTGGACTCCAGGCTCGACAGCTCCAGGGCGTCAGACTCCAGGCTCCAGGGCTCTAGGTTGCATGGCTCCAGGCTCTGGGGCTTCAGTTCCAGGCTCCAGGCCTCCAGAGCTCTAGGCTCCAGATTTCAGGGATTCAGGTCTCCAGGCTCTGGGGCTCTAGCTGTGAGGCTCCATGCTTCAGACTCTGGGTTCCGGGCTGCAGGGCTCCAGGCTCCAGGCCCCAGGCTCCGGACTCTGGGTTCCGGGCTTCGGGGACTGCCTTGGGCAGGGATCTGGGAGTCCTAGGGTTAGTTCCCAGTCTACCGTGAATCATACAATTTTGAAAAAATTATTTAATTCTGTTGTCTTATTGTTTTTATAAGAAATATTTCTTATAGCTTTATTTTAAAATCCTCTCATGTCATCAAGTTTACATTGAAGATTTCAGTACTTAGTAGTTACTGTAAAATTCTAGTTGTCTTTTAAATTGTGAATTTGTTTCATGTTTTCTGAGATTATTCAGCTGCTTTTCCTCTCGCTATGTGAACAGTTGTCCCGGCCTCCTGATGTGCGGTGTGAAGCTTTGTGTGCTTCTCATTGGCAGGAGGGTCTACCTTCTGCGGCATTGCGTCGCTGTGTCTCATGGGCAAGCTGGAGGAGGTGTTCTCCGAGAAAGAACTGAACAGGATAAAGCGATGGTGTATAATGAGGCAGCAGAACGGTTATCACGGAAGGCCTAACAAGCCAGTCGACACCTGCTACTCTTTCTGGGTAGGAGCAACTCTGAAGGTAAGAGATTACCCTGCGGGCTGTGCCCCGTCCTGAGGGCTGTGCCCCGTCCCGCGGGCTGTGCCCCGTCCTGAGGGCTGTGCCCCGTCCCGAGGGCTGTGCCCCGTCCCGCGGGCTGTGCCCCGTCCCGCTGGTTGTGCCCCGTCCCGCGGGCTGTGCCCCGTCCCGAGGGCTGTGCCCCGTCCCGCTGGTTGTGCCCCGTCCCGCGGGCTGTGCCCCGTCCCGAGGGCTGTGCCCCGTCCCGCTGGTTGTGCCCCGTCCCGAGGGCTGTGCCCCGTCCCGCGGGCTGTGCCCCGTCCCGAGGGCTGTGCCCCGTCCCGTGGGCTGTGCCCCGTCCTGCGGGTTGTGCCCCGTCCCGCGGGCTGTGCCCCGTCCCGAGGGCTGTGCCCCATCCTGCGGGCTGTGCCCCGTCCCGAGGGCTGTGCCCCGTCCCGCTGGTTGTGCCCCGTCCCACGGGCTGTGCCCTGTCCTGCGGGCTGTGCCAGATGGCTGTTTCCGCAAGGGCAGGAAATGCTGTCAAAACTCACAATTTGCCTTTTTAAAACATAGTTATAATTTACTTACAGCTTGTTAGTCTATTGTAGACAGAAGGTTATAAAAACAAGTTACTGAAATAGACCAGTGATCAATTTGGAACTGATGCTGTGTGAAAGTGATCCTTGTAACATTTTTACGTGAGGATTTTGGCCTGGAAAGACAGACGCGAGGCTGCTGCTTTTGAAGCCACTTAATGCTTCCTGATTATTGATTTCTTTGTCTAAACCTCCTAAAACTCTGACTGGCCTCCCCCACGTTCTCCATCTCTACTACCTCTTACTATGCCTGAGTGCACAGTGTTTAGCCACTAAGTGCCCACCCACACGTTTGCCTTAGTTAAAACTTCCTTTTCTCCATTAGAATATCTCATTCAGATGCTATGAAATGTGTGTTTGTCTTCCTGAATGTATACTGGGTTCACTAGTCTCACACAAAACTGTTTCTTTGCATCGGGTTAATGAAGATTCTTGCTGTTTTTTGAAGTCTTTTTAGTAACAGTTACTATTGGTTTGTGAGTAATAACTCAGAAGCCTGTCTTCAGAGGCAAAAGAAGGTAAATTAAAATTGCACTTTTTTCAAGGACTGGTGTTACAGTAGGATTGGAGAAGTTGTTGTTTGGAATCTGGCTTTACAGAAGCCTGGGTGGGCCTTGCTCAGATGGAGGCAATAGCAGATGGGGCAAGAAAAGGACGGTAGTTTTGAGAAAGACAATGAACATGATGTGGGTGGCAAATTGAAGTACCCAGCTCCCCGCGACTCTGTGTGAGCCTTGCCCAGGCAAAGATGTGTCTGGCTGGTGCCTGGGTGCCAGAAAGCAACATCACTGTTTCCTGTCAGCCCAGTGTCCTTTTGTTTCAGCTCCTGAAGATTTTCCAGTACACTAACTTTGAGAAAAACAGAAATTATATCTTATCTACTCAAGATCGCCTTGTTGGTGGATTTGCCAAATGGCCGGACAGTCATCCAGGTAATTATTTTCTGTGTGAATACACAACTTTGATTTCTTAACATCTTTTTAAGAAAGAGTATATGATAGAAAATGTGTGCCCGATTGTAAGTTGCTTCCTTACATTTGAAGAGGTGTGTTCAGGCTGGGTTTACAGCTGGGGATATTTGTGAAGGGGTTGATTATCAAGGGGGACTGAGTGATACCTTGTGCCTTTGCCCCACATAATTTACAGAGCCTGTGTTTTACTTCATTTGTAGCAGTAGCCCCATGGATCTTACTAAATCCTTGCCAAAGCAGAGTGGTTCAGCTTATTTGAAATCATCAACTGTATTAGCTGTACTTGAGCCAAGCACAGAATGAGCTACTCTCTTCCCTGAAGCGTGTCAGTTCTTACTCTTCAGAAATCCTTAAACACAAAATTTCAAAATCTGAGTATTGGTGTCTTTAGCAGCTCAAACTCGTGTTCTAAATTTTGGCAGATTCACCAGCATTTTCTGGGTGAATACTGGCAGCTGGGACACTGTTCGTTGTAGGAGGCCCTGGCATTCAAGGGCCCAACACTGGGCTCCTCCCACGGGCAGCTTCATTTTTTTAGCCCTGTGCACCCTGCATATTTTCATCCATAAGTCAAGCGGAGAGTTTGTTAAAATAATTAAGATCACTGACATTTCTGATGAGCAGCTGTTCACAGAATTAACTATAAATACAAAGCAGACACAGGAGTGTGCGTTTCACATTGCAGTAGAATCGTGATTTTTTTTTAATCATTCTAAAAAATACCTCTACCTCGTCTCCTGTAACATGACTGCTGAGCTGCGATGTATTCCTGGATCAGTGTATAAATAGGAGGCTCACTCAATCTTGTTTTTATATCTCACCCACACAGCTACCTGTATTTTGGCGTAAAACATGTTTTCTTAGGTGTAATACTTTCAGAGTCAAAAGGCAAAGTAGATTTTCATTAGTTAACTTATAAAGCAACATAATATTTTTGAAGTTCTGATCTCATAACAGCTGTAAGTTAGAAAAGTACCTCCATGCAACGGTTATTTCAGTCTTGAGGCCATTTTTGGGCGTCTGTGTCCGGCGTGATCAGACAGTGACGCCAGGGAAATGGAACCGTCTGGAGTGTCTCTTCGTAACCTTATTTGACAGGTGAGGAGAACATTCTACGGAGATGGGCTCCTCGTGCTTGACAGAACGTGGCCACCTGGTGTGTGCGGGGAACAGAAGTGTTGGTGTGATGGGTTCAATTTACGCCAAAGGACCTGTTCCCAGATTGCAGGGCAAGTCCCTTTAGTAAGAGCCTTGAAGTTGGCTTCTTCCTGGTCCTCACGAGTGGAGCAGCAGCTCTGACCCAGGAATTGCATAGACATTTATGGCAGAGACTCTCAAGAGAACGGTTTATTCTGAAGTGAATGCTCGCGCGTCTCGAGGACTGCAGGGCCTCGCTGCCGCAGATGGGGGACTTGCTCACAAACGGGCAGGCCCTGGAGCTGGGGCCTGGCCAGCATTTGAGGAAGAAGCGCTTTATTCATACTGTACCTGGAGAGATTCTTTTACATTGTTCTGGGTTTATGGTTTATGTTGTATCCTTTTCTGTTGTATCCCACCCCCTGCCCTCCCCAGTTTCTACAAGATTAGGCATCCGTTCTCTGCCTTAGTTACTGTACAGTAGCCATCTGGACAGTGGTACAGTAGCCATCTGGACAGTGTTACCGTATAGAGGAAAACACTTATTTTTATTGGAAAGGCAGATTTTTACAGAGAAATTTCCCATCCGCTGATTCGCTCCCCAGATGGTTGCAGTGGCCAGAATGAAACTGATCTGAAGCCAGGAACTTCTTCTGGGTCTCTCACGTGGGTACCTGGGCCCAAGGATTTGGCCTTCCTCTGCTGCTTTTCCAGGCCATAAGCAGGGCGCTGGATGGGAAGTGGAGCAGCCAGGGCTAGAACTGGTGCCTGAGATGCCAGCACTTGCAGTCAGAATATTAACCAGTTGAGCCCTTGTGCTGGCCGAGGTTGTTACTTTTTGTAGCCAAAAAGTCAGAGGAAAATGAGACAGAAGAAATGAGCGTTTTCCATGAAGGTCTTGGTAATTAACACAGACTCTGTTAATGAAGTCACAGTATCATTGATATGTCAGGCACAGCTGTCAGTCACTCCTTTTTGTAAATTGCATTCCTAGGTGTAAAACGCTTTCAGCACAGAGTTGGACTTGGTAAAATGTCTTGGACTCTGATGTCCCTGGAAGGCCAACTGGAGGATGTAACATTCTCCCTGGTCTTGGGGTCTAATGCTGCGGGAGCTGGCAGCGCTGGTTGCCTGGGTGGCAGCTGAGCGGGGGGCAGTGTTCCTGAGGGAGGCGTATTCCGTCAGGCTGCTGGGCAGTGTTGTTGGACTAGGATGTGGAGTTGAGGGGATTGTTGCTTAGAGGTTTCTTCTGATGTTTAAAGAAAACACCATCTTGTTGGTACGGTGTGGCTGCCCTGGTTTCTGTAATCCCTGGGACGCCTGTGGGGCCAGCTGCTGCACTGACCTGCATCGCAGAACAGGCGGGCAGTGGCAGTGACGTGTTTGTCAATGAGTTTAACATCGCATTTTTAAAAAGCAGTGATTGAGACTTTGGGAAAGCAGATGGGAAGCCCTGAGTGGTATTTCCTAACTTACAGTTGGATGTGGCGGTGGGCCTGTGGGTGAACTCTCCCTCTCCCTGTTGCAGATGCCTTGCACGCCTACTTCGGGATCTGCGGCCTGTCGCTCATGGACGAGAGCGGGATCTGTAAGGTGCACCCTGCTCTGAATGTCAGCACGCGGACTTCGCAGCGCCTGCAGGCTCTCCATCAGCGCTGGGAAAGCCAGGAGGCCGCCCGCTGCCCAGAGAACACGGCCCTCTCCACGTGACTGGCTCTGCCTGGGCGGGCGCGGGTCCCCAGCCTAGTTGTAGCTCACCATTAAAGCCATGTAACCTCGTGCTCTGCTGTCTGAGAGGCAGAGTCCTACAGTCACGGGACGCTGCGGCACGCTGCGATGCGGTCCTGAGCCAGGACACGAAGTGTGACCCGCAGTGGATGGCACCGTGCTTCTTTAATGTTTATACCATATTTCTAAGAAGTTCTTTGAACAACTTGACTGTGTGTATGTAGATTATCTTCATAAGAACTCTTGAGTACACATTTTCTCTTCAGAACGAGTTTACGCTTCACACAGCGTTGATAATCCGTCTGTGGGCCGACAGTTAGCATTGGGCAAGCTTGACCCGATGGTGGGAGTCTTCCCGCAATGATTGTCTGGGATTTGTCTGTGGAAACAGATGAGCCCATCATTTTTTGGGTAAAAAAAATGTTTTATTCTGACATGTGCCAGTGAACTAGTGTGGCCTACGTAAATGAAGTGAATAACTGCATAGTAAAATAAACAGGCTTGACAGAGTAGTTTTGCAAAGGAAGCTGTTTAAGAATATTATGTAACCAGGGAAGAAGTAACCTGCTCATGTGCTCATGAGCGAGAAGGCTTTGTGCTGCGTGGCTCCTGGGGAGGTTGCTGAGATAAGTACCAGCTACGTTTGAGTTTCCTCTCGAACCATTGATTGTTTTTTCCCTCCAGGAAAAAAAAAGAATCTGTCTGGAAGGAAAGCCACTGATTGTGTGGCCTATGTTTCTGGCATACCTGTTGTTGAGGATTGTGCTTCGATAATGAAACTATTTTTGGCCCTGTGGATTTTTGTATTGCCCTCAGTATTTTAGCTGCTGAAATTATACAGTAATCTTTTTCAAATTGAAAAACAAATAGCATAAAAATAGAAGCACACAAGTAAATTCAGTAGGCTAAGTCCATATGTCATCCATAATCCTTGGTGTGTTTGTATTTGGGGGTAAGTGGGAGGCAAATGTAATCATTCGAAAGGGAAAAATTAGGGCTTTGTTTCTGTGAACTTCCTAAGCTCCCCATCTGCCAGGAAATGGCCGCCGTGGCCCTGCCCGAGACGCTCCGCGCAGCCGCGTCAGCAGGCGTGCTGGGAGCTGCGCTCTGCAGGAAGATATCCTGAAATAATGATCCTTCCCGAGAGGAACCTAATGGCTACTTGGAGGAAGGGCTCATTTATTATGGGCACTCTTTGCTTTACCAAATTTAGTAGTCTTTTTTTTTTAAATTGGAAATAGTCTTATGGTGAAGGAAAAAATAAGCTTAGCACCAGATGGGATCTTACCATGTTTCTCCATGTCCTTCTATTTAAATCCTAGGAAATTAAGATATCCATATCTCAAATCCTCTCTTGGACACTGGGGATTAAATTAGGAAACGGTGTTTGCAGTGGCTTCAGGGCAGCCGCCCTGCCTGCTGCCCTGCGTCCCCGCTGGTACTTAGAAGGTAAGAAAGCTGCAAGGCAGTGCTTTCCTGTGGGCGTCCAGGGCGTGTGTCTCATAAAACTGACATTTTCTAATTGTTTGAATAATTAATGGTATAAGACTATGGATTATGAGAGTACCTAATGTACCTGAGAGACCCCATAGAGATTTGTGGACTAGTAAATGTTCCATTTTCCGTACCTACCAGAAATTTCTGGATTGATGTGAGTTAGCAATTATTTGCCAGAAAAATGCTTATTGATAAGTGATAAGCAATTTTTCCCCAAGTACACTTTGTTCATCAGTGGAAGTGACCTAAGCAGGAAAACCTGCAACCCAACGTTTCAAGTGGCTACTCCGACACCGTGCTGTCCTGTCAGCCCAGAGTCACTGAGCCCTGCAGCAGAGTCTGACCCACTTGTCATCGTCAGTGGCATCGGCCGTGTCTGTAGATGTTTTGCCTAAGCAGAAATCCTTCTGGCAGTGGCGCATGCGCCCTGCGTAAGTGGTCAGAGGGCCATCACAGTGTGCATTCACCGGTGCCTGCAGGGTCACTCACCGGGCTGCGGATTACCGCAGGGCTCTGCTGTAGCAGCACAAGGGGTCGCTCGCAGCCCAGACGTCTTGGTGTGGTTGTTTGAACACTTGAAGCTGCGGTGATAGAGGCAGACAGTGGCAGCGGTGAGTGGGGGCTACTCTGCACTCAGGTGACTTGTGTCCAAATCCTAGACCTGCCTGTCAGAAGCATGATCTGGAGCTCCAGTTTCCCCATTCAGAAAATGAGGAAAACAGAAACGTGTGTCCGTGTGGAGGATGAAGTGCTTCCTGTCGTGTCTGTCGTCACGCTCCCACAGCATCTCTAACATGGAAGCCTCCTGTGATGACCCAGAGAGGCCCACCAGAGTCCAAGCCCCAGGAGGATGCTGCAGCCAGAGACAGAGTTGCAAAGCTAGATAGGTACTGTCCCCACGGGCAGACACACCTCAGCTAAGGAGCGTCCACAAAGGAGGAAGCTGAAGGTGCCCTCCCAGTGTCTGGTTCCAGCCAGTGAGAGAAAGGAGCGATGCCCACAGCATGTTACTGCAGGGTGCACTGGGCCGCGTTCAAGGGCTGAGCCAAAGAAGGCGTCCCCAGAACCACCCGTAGATGAGGGTCTGGGCAGCAGGACAGGTCTGGTGATTGTGCCAGAGGGGTCTGAGCTCACGGAGCCTGACCATCGAGATCCTGCTGGAGGTGCACTCTGTCAGGGTAGGACCAATGTGATGAGAAAAGAAGGGAAAGTCCCAGCAGACAGGAAGGAAAGCCAGTGTGTCCAGAAAGTACGGGCAAAGTAGCCGTCAAGGTGAGATTTACGTCGGCCTCAGATATGCTGAGATCCACACATGTGAGGCAACTTTCACCAAATTCATAGAGAAAAGTACACATGGATTTCACATAATTTTGGCAGAAAAGTTACTCTTTTCATTCCACTGTAAGATTGTATCAGTTAAAATTTCCTGGCAGCACCTGAGGCAGGTCCTTCTGCATCACACAGTCCTGGCCACAGCAATTGGTGCCGCCAGCTCTGGCATCATTCAGGCTTGCCAGTAGGATGAGGGGGCAGCCAACCTTGTCTCGCTCAGCACCAAGAACCAGGCCCTTTCTGCCACATTCACCAGGGAGACTGACACCAAACTGTGTGGACCAAGGCCACACAGCCAAGGAAACCCTCATTCATCTCAAAGCTGCACTTCTATCCGTGGAAGCAGAAGACTAGGGCACAGTGTCAGACACAGGTAACATTAATTTGAAAAAATTCATGGCTTGGAACAGTAGTCTAGTGGCTAAAATCCTCATCTGGTATGCGTTGGCATCCCATATGAGCGCCAATTCATGTCCTGGATATTCCACTTCCCATCCAGCTCCCTGCTTGTGGTCTGGGAAGGCAATGGAGGATAGCCTGCAGCCTTAGGGAGACCCTGCAGAAGCTTCTGGCTCCTGGCTTCAGATCAGCTCAGCTCCAGCTGTTGTTGCTATTTGGGGAGTGAACCAGCGGATGGAAGATCTGTCTCTCCTCTCTGTAAATCTGACTTTCTAATAAAAAAAAAAACTTTGAAAAGAGAAAACAACTTCAATCTTAAAAATGTTGAGAACCTGTTAAATGAAATAATAGTTGAAAATTTACCAGGTCTTGAAAAAGACATGGACATCCAGCTATAAAAATCCAAAAACCCCTAAAAGACCACCAATCAAGATCTTCTGTAAGGCACACTCTAGTCAGATTGTCCAGAGTTACAGACGGAGAGAATCCTAACGCCAGAGAACAGTGCCATCTGGCTCCTCAGCAGGAACTCTTACAGGGCGGAGGAGAGTAGAATGACATAATCAAAGTCTTCAAACTCCAGACTAAGAATTACATCCAAGAAAGTTATCCTCTAAAGGAGAAGGAAAAGTATTTTTTTATCAAATCAACAAAAATAATCAAGCATAGTTCTTGCCTGTAAATACTGACCTTGAATCTAAATGGATTGAATTAAGTGTTAGGTTGACTGAATGGACTAAAGCAAAAAGCACTACCAGGAATTCTATATGCTGCCTACGTGAAGGTACACATAATGCAGGATGGGAGACATGCACCCAGCAGGTGGAAAAAACACAAACAGAAATAGCTATGCTGATATCAGAACCAACTGTAAGCAGAGGTAAAGGGCCAGTCCAATCACGATCACCAGATACATACAGCAGATACTGTCAGACTTAAGGGAGAGACAGACTGATGCAGTACCACTCCGCCCATCAGTGGATGAATCATCTGGACAGAAAGATGCATTGGACGTGTTATGTGCTTGAGCCCTGCGCTGGGAAGGCACCAGCTGCCCTCCAGCGAGGGGGCCAAGGCCCACTGTGCCTGCATCTGGCCAAGGCCATGTGAGACCAGAGCCAGTCTCCTTGACACCCAGATAATCAGAGCTTTGGCCAGACTTGTGAGTGCGTGCTGAGGGAGAGGCGCTGACTAAAAGGACAGACTGTCGTGCTGAAATGGACTGATAAGGACTTAGTCATCTGACCTGTGGCCTTCCAGCACCCTGCCCTGCAGCTCTGGTGGGATGTTGTGTTTCACTGGCAAGCCACAACTCTGGACCTTCAGTATATTCTTTTTGACAAATCATTTTCTAGAGACTGCCCCTTCAAATCACATAAGGTTGCATTTACGGCAATAACTTATCATCCAAATATTCACAGTAATGGAAGCATCTCGACAACCTGAGACCACAGAGATCTCGTGTTTAACCATCTCTAAAGTCCTTGTGTTGGTTTGCTCACTGCTCTATCATCCAAACTCAAAGATCACACAAGTCTATAAAAAAGATGTCTCCAGGATGAACTCTAGCTTGGTTGTGAGACAAAAACCATTCCTCGCTGCTCTGACACGCCTGGGAAGGCATCTGAGAGGGAGATGGGTGCTTAGCTGTCGTGTTTGCTTAGGCCTTCCTGGTAGGGGTGGGAGGCTTCCCTGGATGTTCTGTGGTCCTACCTGCTGTGGCTAGGGGACGGTGTGGCATCGACAGCATCAGCTGGACAGACAGCAGGATGTGTTTTACGCATGTCAGGAAAGGAAAAGACCATTCCTGTTGCTAAAGAATGCAAATTCCAAGTCCAAAACCCTTTGTATTCCAGAATAAGGTCTCAAATATTTTGTAATTTTTCTTTAAATTGTTAGGAAGCTTAGAGCTATATATCTTCCAATACACTGTTTAAAATTAGCCTTAAATAAATGATGGAAGTCATCAGTGATAAGCCATCAGCTAATATTTTTGCTAACACTTTATTTATTTTTCTTTAATAAAGTTGCATAACAACAACAAAAAATAACACAACAACAAAAATAAATAAAAACCCACATTGGAATTGAAACATCTTATCAAGCAAATGGACCTACCAGACAGGCTATTTCACTCACCAGCTATAGAATATGCCTTTTTTTTAAGATTTATTTTATTTTTATTGGAAAGGCGGATATACAGAGAGGAGAGACAGAGAGGAAGATCTTCCATCCAATGATTCACTCCCCAAGTGAGCACAACGGCCGATGCTATGCCGGTCCAAAGCCAGGAGCCTCTTCCGGGTCTCCCACGCGGGTGCAGGGTCCCAAAGCTTTGGGCCGTCCTCAACTGCTTTCCCGGGCCACAGGCAGGGAGCTGGAAGGGAAGCGGGGCTGCCGGGATTAGAACCGGCGGCCATATGGGATCCCGGGCGTGCAAGGTGAGGACCTTAACTACTTGCGCCACCATGCCGGGCCCCAGAATATGCCTTCTTGCCATAAACACACGGACCATGTTCTAGGATAGAACACTTACTAGGTCACAAAAGAAGTCTGAGAAAATTTTAA